ATGAAACCGAGTTCTAAACTAAAATCCAAAATATTTTTAATAAATATTTGATGTAAATACCATACTTGTTTCTTTCTCAGAAATAGTTTTAACTACTTGGAACTATTAAGCAAATATTTTAGTAAATATTTCCTTTCTATTTTCTATTCATACTTAAATATTCTTCTCAGTGCACTAGCATCTCAATGCAATTCCATGGCCAAGTTGGAAAACAATTTCGGCTCTCCCCTTGGTAATGCCATCTCCCTTGTCTTGGCTCTCCCTCTCGCTCGCTCGCCTGAGGCAATGACTTTTACACATCGCAGCACATGGCCATCTCGTACCTTTGCCGCCATCCCACCATCCCACCACCCCCCAACTCCTTCCCTCCACCCCCCAATCGCCACCCAGCTCATCTGAGCGCGCTCAATTGTATCGCTTCAGCTTCAAATTCAGTCGACGATGGCCGCGTGTAAAACTTAAAGACTTACTCACACAACTGAGTCAGCAGGTACACTGGAAAATAAAATAGGAACTCCTGTTCTAACTTCTAATGATTTAGGGAAATTAATTAAACAAATAAAAATAAATATATATAAAATAAATAATTATTATTTCTTGATTATTTCCTTTTATTGCGAGGCTTTTATGCACAGTGTGTAACTTATATATTTAAAATTTAAATTACTTAAGCTAAATTAGCCTTATCAATAAGACGTTGAAACGTGCAGTTTTCAAACTATACAAGTTATTAATAAACATTTTGCTTCATTTTAATTTAAAAGCTTTCGAATTTAATTTTAAAGAAAAATAGTGAGACCAATTAGTGTTAATTTCCAGACTGACCATGCTGTCAATGCAATCAATTCTAAGTTTTCCCAATTGATTTCCCAATTTTTCCCAGTGTTCCTTTGGAGCGAAGAAACTTGCGTTACCGGATTTCGGATGCTGCTCTCCCTCCCTCTCTTTCTCTTCACCAATCGCAGGCCATCCCGCTTGCACCTGCAGGCTATCCCCATAGACGAACATTGAAAACTTTGGCTTTAGTTTTTAGTTTTAGGTTTTTCAGCTTCGCACCTCTCTTCCTCTGCCGGCAAACTCCTATTGATTTCGCTTTGAACAACAAATTCATTGCTTTGGAATGTATTTGGTGTTTTCAGAGTTTTTTCTCCTTTTTTTTTTTTTTTTTTTTTTTTTTTGATTTTGTATTTTGTTTGTGTGTTAGCCGCCGTTGCAAACTGGAAATTCTTCGGGGTCCGTTGGAGCTGACCCAAAAATAAAAGCGGTTTCGAGGAGACTGCAACTGATTGCCGCCTTATCAGTGGACCGAAGGGGAGGGGTTGCGTATACGCCCCTTGGAATGCGGCACAGTGCAGCCAAAACTGTAATTCAATTGGCTGCGGATTCTGCAATGTGTGCGCTCGAAATGGGTCAGCATCTGATTGATTTAGTATCCGCACAATAATGTTGCTTTTGTGCAGTAATTTCAGTTTACTTTCAACCAGTAATTGAATTTCCCTGAGTGCTACTTATGTGCGATACATTGGTCTACGGGCCATGGCTTAGAAAATTATCTATTTATTTCCAAAACTGATATAATTCACTTCTTAATGGCCTTAGATAAATTGAAATCCCTATTGATTTTGCCGTATTTAATATCTAATGGTCGCACAACCATAGAGCATTTATAAAAATCAAAAATTAAATAGGTCAGTAGTTGATTAATTCAGCAAGCCAGCACCAATTAATTTTTAATGCATAAATTCAAGGAAACTTATTTATTCGGTATACAAATATGGAAATAACTTAAATTCCGATAAAAGAGTTCAATGACCAGGGAAATGTGGAAACTGTTTCAGTTAAAGGTAGGGAAGATTTTTTAGATAATAAAATTCTTGGCTCTCTTTATTTTCATCAAGAGATCTGTCCTAATGAATGTAACTTTTGGTATGTGGGTCCCATAAAATGATCATTTTTTCGCCACTTTATGTATATTTTTTATTATTTTTTTTTTGACAGTTGATTTCCACTTTCGACAAAACTTGTTTCGTTTTGAGGTTAGTTTTCTTTGCTGTCTGTTTGTTGGCTGTGCTGTGTTGTGTGTGTTGTTGTTTCTTGTTTAGCCGCTTTTTATGGCAACAACAACACGTGGCCCACAACGCAGGCCAAACTGTAAGCAGCTTTTATTTCTATAGTCCGTCTCCCTCGCTCCCATCGCTGCCTCTCGCTCTCTCGTTGTCTATTTTGCAGTAATTTCCAGTTGGCTGAATTCGGTGGGAGGTAAAAAAAAAACAGTTGAGGAGGCTGCAAAAAGAGGGAGAGCAAGACCCAGGGAGGGGAAGGAGAGAGCGAGAGAGGGAGCGGGTCTTATAACTCCCACCATTTCCACTTCCACATCCACATCCATTTCCAAATGCTTTTTGTTGGCCACTTTGATGGTCCATGGGGGATTTCGTATCTGTATCTACATGTGTCGGCCCTCCAACTATATTTGCCCTCACTTTTTGCACTCTCACGCCCACAAAACACGAGAAAAAACAAAAAAAAATAGTAGAAAAATCGCAAAAAGCGAGTATAACAAGAGCAAACACCGCACTCATCGCCGTGTTAATGGGTTAAACTGAAGTTTTGCCCATAATAATGAAGCGACAACAAAACTTTCCGTGATTCGAAACGGAATTACTCAGCCGGTGTTTTACGGATACAGTCGAACATCCAGAACTAAAAACTTCCCTATATCGTTCAAGAAACTGATTTAGAATTTGCTTAAGAATTGCTTTTAAATTGCATCCGATTTTTCTCAGTTTCTAAAATCACCTGCCTTATCCCCAATCAAAATCAACTGATTTCTAAACGCTTTGTGGTATTTATAAATTGGCAAGTCGTAAACAAATATCTATAAAAACACACATATCGAGTTTCAGTGACAAAATTGATTTATTTAACTCGCGTTGAATAAACTCAATTGCATAAAAACTGGACATTTCAAAGTTACAATCGGTTTCTGTTACAAATAAACCTTACAAATTGTTCACATGTTAAGAAAAATCTTTTCAAAAATATTTGCAAGCATTCCTTGCTTACACTTACAAAAATAAATGACATGCAATTATAAAAAAAAATAAAATGAAAAAAAAAATCATGAAATGGTTAATAAAAATATTCTAATTTAAAAATTATTAAAAATATTCGAAGACTCAAAAAAATTGCCATGCACCATTGAGGCTAAACGATCTAACTTTTTTCCCGTGTAGACTGTAGACCGAGACATGCAGGTTCGACTGTAGTTGCCGTGGGTATGGGTACATACTCGTAGATATTTCTGCGGCTGTATCTGTATCTGTGTATCTGCGGCCAGGTACGCCAAACTAAACACTAACAATGTTGATTCATGACTCTGCCATAGATAGTTTGCCCAGTTTAAGAGCCACTGGCCACTCACCCTGCGGCTGCTGCTGCTGCTGTGCTTTTTTTGCTGCAACTGCTGCTGCTTCTGCTGCTACTGCTGCTGCTGCACCACAATAAAACAACAACAAATCAAATTTGTTACACCGAAAAAAAAGGCGTAGCGAAACGAAACGAAATGCTGGCGAACCACGTACCAAAAACGAGACGCCAACGCGTGCGCGCACTTCAAAACAAAAGGCGGAAAACCGAACACTGAACACCGAAATTCGAAAAAAGTAACAACGAACGCAATCCGCCGGAGAGAGCGAGACGGAGATAGTGGGGCGGTACGGTCTAAGCGGCGACACTGCGGCGCTGACGCTACGGAAACGTCGACGGTCGCCTCGCAACTGACGCAAGTGACGCGGCTCCACCGCCGAGCGGCCGGAGAGGCCCCAAAAACCCGGCCAAAGAGAGAGCCAGAGGCGCCCAAAGAGCGGGAGAATGGGGGACTGGAAGACTGAGACTGCGACTGAAGAACCGTAGAGCCGGAGAGCGAAGACTGGAGAGCGCCAGAAGCTCCACTGACCGCAAAGTCAATTGCAAAAACACAAATGCCAAACAAGTAAGGCTATCTGAAGGAAATTCGACCTTAGACTACCTGCTACTAACTTGTTATAATACTGTGATCTTCTATCTGTAAATATATTACAAAATTTGCAAAAGCGACATTTGTTTAAATTTGTTGGTTTATAAAATATTAGTATTCCATTTTAAAATATTACCTATTAATTAACTATTATTTTAGCAAGAAAAATAAAGGTTTACAACTTTTTAATAACAGTTTAAAACATAAAAAAATCCGAATACACCCCCAAATTCTACGATTGCAGGGTATACAAATACAAATGCCAAAAAAGCTTCGAAAAAGAGAGGGAGATAAAAAGAGCGCGATCGAGTTAGACAGTTATTAAATGAAATGCGAGAGCAGAGTCCCCAATCAGACAGTTAACTTCAACTTGTTGCTTTAACTGGGCTGCAGTGAGTCTCAAACCGCGCAGGTGATCGTGTGATTAGAGGTTTGGCAGTCACTTTGATTAGGTTGATTACCGGCTATTAGTTCAATGGCAGTGAGTGTAAAACTGCCTAAAATGCATTTTTTATACATTTTAGGATAAATATTGAAAATTTGAATAAAATGTAATGCTATAATGGCCAGAACAATAGAAATAATGGTCCAAATATGGAATGTCATACCTCGTTGAACTCGTAATGAAATCCCCAATCGATTGGCATTTCAACCTGGGAATTTTTAATTTTTTTGCCATTTTTCGCAAAAATTTATGATGTAACCCCTCGTAAAAAATGCGAAAATTGGGTCAAAAACTAATTTCCTCAAATCAGTCGGAAAGTGCCCTGATATTAATTGTAAAAGTTGTAAGCTGCTCAAAACAGTGCGCCTTTTTGATGTGGGACCATTTTTTTCCAAGTTACAGCAAAAAATCTATTTTGAAAAAATCTAATTTTTACCAAAAATCTAGATCCTGATTTTTACCACAAAAATGATTTCCCAAAGATTTGATTGAAACCCTTAAGACCGTATAGTACTTATATAAGAAAGTTCCTAAACTTACCCAGTCGTGAATCATTTTTCTTTCGCACACGCAGACAGATGGTGCAGGATTTGATGCACTGCAGGAAAATGTGCAGATCGAAAAGAAGAAACATATGGAAATTAGTTAGGGATGATCAGGTTGGACCTTATATGTAGGTCTTAGGATTATTATGTGGGTGACTTATATATCCGTACGTCGTGTATGTGGCGAATGACCTCCGTGCGCGAAATATTCTCCAGGGTCAGGCCATTGACCTCGAGTATCTCATCGCCCACTTCCAGATTATCGCGATCGGGCGGTGAGCCGTATAGTTTAATTTTACCCTCCACATTCTCGACGAGTATGATGACATAGCCCGATAGTTCGACAACTTGTTGCTGCAATGACAAAGAATTAAGGGTCGTGTTAAAAAGGATTAAATATTAATAAGTAAATCCAAAACCCCCTTAAAAAGTATTAAAATAAATATTATTGTCAGTATACTAGGCGTATACTTAATTTTAAATGTTTTCGCTTCTTAACAAACTCTTAACATTTAATGCCAAACTATTTATTTTATACCTCTTTTAATCAATATTTTCACTTAGCTTCCCAACATTTTATAATGACATGTGGCTCCTTATAAAATTTAAAAATAATTCCTTCCCTTTTGCCACACACGGCGTATACTTAATGCCAAACGATTCCCTTTGCTCACGAAATATTTACAAAGTCTCTCACATAAAGTCATTTTCATAAATGCTGCCTAAATAGCAAGAACAACTTATTTATGCCGCGGGATGTGGGTGGCCCTACTACTACTAAAAAAAAAAACAGAAAATAACAAAAAAAAATCAAATTAATTACACAAAAGGATGAAGGACAAAGGCAACACAGCAGCCAGGCTGGAACGGCAAACAATCCAACTTCAGTTCAAATACCCACACTTCTTCGAGTGTGCGAGTGTGGGAAGTTTTGGCCATTATTGCTTGGGCTGGCTCGTTATGTTAATTACAACAAATTATGCTCATGCGGCAATTGCGGGGGTTCTCCTAGCTCCTAACAACCCAAGCCCACATATCCTTGAACAACCACCCACCACCCACCACCCCTCGAGCCCACGCCCTCAAGCGTGTAATCAGTAGGCAGCAGGCCAGTTCGGTGGGTTGGCAGCAGTTTGACAGTCACCCTGGCTATAAAGTCCGTTCGAAAGCCATTAAACCGTTCCGCAAAAAGTTTGACGAGCACTGAACTATCAAGAATACCTTTAAAAGTTTATAATATTTTCCCAAGGCCTAAAGAAAATGGTTCAATATCACCAAAAATAATATTCTTTTGTTTTGTGGTGAAAAATACAGGTTCATGGCAATTTAAGTGGCATTTAGTGACGACAGTGACGACATTCCTAAGCTAATAAATATTTTAAAAATTCCCTGAGTGCCGCCTCTCACCTTCCACAAATAAAGTCCTCGGAATAATTCATTGGCTGTCCCATTTAATTCGGACAGCTGGGGCCAAATGCATCCCAGGCAATTTAAATATGCTCCAAGTTCATTTCACATTTCACACAAAAATCCGAAATGGAAGCGACACAAAGAGAGCAGCAACAATAACAATGGCAAGTGGCAACAACGATGCAAGCCACAGAATACAAACCGAAAATTGGCAAAAAGCACTTGAGAAACATTTAAGCCTGGGATCCAGAAACAAAAAAAACAGGCAGTTGAGATAAATATAAATATACAAAAAAATATATATACCTATGTTTGCACAGGGAAAAGAACGTAGAGCTGTGCAAAAGAGTGCCTAATTACAAAACAAAAGTAAATGAAAAATGAAATAATTCGACTTTATTGGGTCACAAAAGTGAATAAGCAGGCGTTGGTGTGGGCGTGGCAACGTGGCAGAAACAAGCATTGTTGCAAGCGCAGGTCGACAAGAGCAATAGCAACCGCAACAGCTCATAGCGAAAAAAAATTAAAAATCTACAACACTTGAAATAAAGTTCTTTAAATTACATTTAACGAAATCTTTGCAAAAAATATAAAACAATCATCTTATGTGGTTTACCAACACTTATGGTGATTAATATTTATCTAACACCTTTCATGAATGAATCTTTATCAGTTTTTAATATATGTTTCTTCAAGTTTGATTTTTAAGTAAAGCAGATGGTGGGGTTTCTTTAATGAAAGCTCATAATTAAATAAAAGAAGTTAACTAACACTTTTTATGAATGCATCCCATACAGTTTTCCAACACTTTTTCAGTATTTTAAGAGATATATTCCTTTATAAACAAGTTTCGGGTGAAGCAGTTGTTGGGGTTTATTTAAACATCCCTTATCTGCTTTATCTTCCATCTTCTAACAACCACCCTCGATTTCTCGCTGTGCAACAGCTACAACGGGCGACAGGCAAAACACTCAACTGGAAGTGAACTCGAGTTGAGCTGGCAAACGGCCAAAAAGGACACACAAAGGAGGAATGTCCTGGGCCAGGTGCTAAAAGGGCCAAAAGCAGCCGCACACACAAAGCGGCGAATAAACAGGAAGACAACTCGACGCTGCAGCTGGTGGGCCAAAATGGCAAAAAATGGGAGAAATGGCAAATGGCAATGGCAAATGGCTGGAATAACCAACAACAATTTCCAACTGTGCTTGCGACTGCTCCAGCCTCATATTTCACGCCTCTTCCATGTTCGCGTTCGCTTTCGCGTTACTCCTCTGGCTTTTAAATAAACATATATATTTTCTGCGGATTAACGTGGCAAAAAGTCAGGCCAATTGATGAACTGCCACCGTTCGTGGCACAACCAAAGCGGAAAAAAGCTGCAAAAAATGTGTGCTGGAAAAAACTAAAAAGAACAGAAAAAAAATGAAGAACCGGAGGAAAAGAATTAAAAGCAAACCTAAGCTGCATAATTATTGGCGCTTCAACGCCGGATGCAAAGGCAGCCATCTATATCTATAGTAAGTACACCAGCGTTGGGAAATATAGTGACGGTAAATTAGTTACAAAAAATTAACAAAAAAAAAAAACCTTAGGAGCTTAAAAAAACAAGTCTATAAATATTTATAGTTTGTGAAAAATAATGATTAAAATAAGTATTCCTCTTTAATCCTTAAAAATCTATAGTATAGTATACACCAGCGGTAGAAAATAAGTGCCAAAAACAACTCCTCTATAAGCATTTACAGTTTTGAAGGCACTACGAACTATGCCGAAAATAATTACCTCTTTAATCCCTTAAAACTCAAGTTGTATCCTCAAAAATTGTAAATAAAATACATGTATATGTAGGGATATTTTTGGAAATGCTGCTCTTCCAGCATAAATACTATCATCTTAACTTTTGTTGACTGAATGCCGAGAAGTGCAAGTTGAAGTTGAAAGCTGGCTGAGGAGACTGACGAGGGCAACTGGCGACATAGACAAACTGGGGCACTTGAGCAGCAGTACCGCTCCATCCCCCTGTTAACCACCCACCACCTCACACACCCCCCGTACCCCCCATACCCCGCATTCCCCCCCTCGCCAGCACTTTGTCGCACTCGAATGAAAAATGACAGCAATTACGCTTAAATTATGCGTTTGTTTTCATATGAGCGTCCTTGTCAGTTGTTCTTGTTCTTGTTGTCGTTGTTGTACTTGAAGCTCATTTCACATATAGACACATGGCAAGTACAACAAGACACACACCAACACATACACAAAGTCTAGGCGACAATTTTTTCCCCTTCCCCCGACTTTTCCCTTCGTCTTTCCCATCTTTCATTCTGTCGTTCATTGTCTCTGCTTTTCACTTTTTTTTGCTTTTCTGGGAAATGCCCTGAAAACTGCACCGAAATCCAGTCGAGCGTGATTCGATGGCCAAATATATACTTATGAATGAGTTACAAACTTTCGGGGGGGAAAAAAAAGGAAAACTGATTTTCCGATAGCATACCTTTCTGGGTTGATTGAACTGCAGGAATGCTTTATAAATAAGGACAAGGCTGTGCAAGAACAACAGAAGAAACTTTCACAAGGGCATTCGTTTGCCGTTTTCAAACACTAAATTATAAGATTATGGCTATGGAGTTTAAATAATATGCTATAGAAGCAGATAAAAATGTTCAACACCGATTTGAAATTTTGAGTAAAAGAATACATACAAGTAGGTGTATGAATGAATATAAAAATAGTGTTAAAAGCAAGAAAATATTGTTGTTTCTTACCAACACTGGTTGGTTTAAGAATATTGGTAAATTACCAACACTGACTGAAATAAATTAGGTCGTTTACCAACACTTATCCCCATAAGTTAGGGCATTCTCAATTCCCTGTGATCTTGGTTAATTCTCCGTTCGCTCCGCTTCTTTGCGCTTGACTGCTAATGACAAAGCCAAGAACAAAACCAGAAGCAAAAAACAAAAAAAAAGCTGGAAAAAGAGGAAAGAAAACAGGCACAAGAGAAGGATGAAGGAGGAGAAGAAAGGAGCAGGCAGAAAGGCGAGAGCAAGAACAAAGCACTTGACTTGTCATTTTTGACATATAAATGGCGAAACAAATCTTTGGATATTGTTTTAAATGATGCACACACACAGACACACACATACCAACGCACCTACACACAGCTAATAAATGGTGGAAAAGAGGGCTGAATTCTTGTGAAGGATGCGAGGGCTTGAATGAATATTCCGTATATTCTGGTGTTCTGGGGGATTTCTCCCAACGGGGTTATGGTTATGCAACAAAGTAACACAAATGATACGCACAATTGTGGCTATTGTTAATGTTATTGTTGTTATTATTGTTGTTGCTGTTGTTGTTGCTCCTCGCCTTCGTTAAAGCTGTATATTTTCGAGCATATGTCTTATGATGGAGGAGTCCTTTTGGGGATTTGTGGGGTGTGATGGGGTATTTGCAGGGTATAGAGTGGTCCAGCACATGCGCAATTGCAGGCACCGCAATCAGACACTCACCAACACACACGCATGTGCGTTTCTTTATAGCCCCCCCTTTTATACCCTGCCCCCCCCTCAGCGCTTTTTCGTCCTTTTTTTGCGGCTCTGAATTAAAGGCAATACAACAACAACAACAAAAGGAGGGACACACACACGCCACTTAATGAAGCAAAATGTTTCATACTTTTCATTCTTCTGCATCATTTCACAACCACACCCCCCTTTCTCCCCACTAATAGGAGAATCCCATTGCCATTGGCCATCATATATAAAAAGTTATTTGAAAATTTCATGGCAATTCATGTAAAAAACTTTCTTTGACAGCCGCAGAAAGTAGCTGGCAGCAATATGAAGAATATGAAGAATATGGTAGAAAGCAGTCGCAAACTGACTGACAGACCACGCGGCGTATGCGTTATATTCGGATTAAAAAACGACGAAAAACAAGAAAGAACGCTAAAGTCGACTGCCTCGCCTATCAGATACCCCTTACTCAGCCGAATGAGTGTGAGAGAGATGGAGATATGCTAGCAGTCGCTTGAAAGTGGCGCCATCTAGGAGATAATAATGTTCATTGTTGGAAAAACTTATTGCAATATTCAAAAGTCCAACTGCAAACCAAAAAACAAATTTAAAATTTAAATAAAAAATGTAATTTAATCCAGTTCCATTTCTTTTTTTTAGTAAGAAAGAAAACCTTTTAAATCGAGTGTCTACATTCAACAGAGAGCTTTTTCCGCCTTTCCCTGGGAACTGAAAAAGAAGAAATTCCGGGAATAAACAATTCAAAGGAAGTGTTAATTAAAAACAGAAAATAGAATACCCGGCAGGGGAGGAACAACTAATCAAATAAGAAACACAAGATAAAACACATTCAAAAGGGGAAAACAAATTGCATTAATAACGAAAAAGAGAAGAACTAATATCCCTTGAAAGAGAAGAACTTAAAGTTTGAAGTTAAGCGTTTTTAAATGCTTCATACAGATATGCTTGTTTTTGATTTTTATTACACTTTTTTCTGTGGAAGGCCCGATGTAAGTAAACAACTATAAAAAGCTGAATTTCCGGGAACAAATAACATTTTCAGTGAGGCAGCTTAACGGGAACTATATTAACCGTGAATCAACTTGATGGGAAAACCAGAAATGAAATGAATGTAGCTTTGGCAAAGGATAGTTTAAATTATCCTGGTAGCTGAAAACCAACATGCTATTGAAATCGTTGTTACAAAAAGCGAATAAAACCAAAAGATGTTATAATTTAGTTTAAACTCAAAAAAAATAGATTAATGCTTTTTTTATAAAATTATAAAATTATTTATATAATATTATTTTCCTGTTATTACAATTTTTGATCATAAAAGCGATCAAAACAATTAAAAAGTACCTCTAAAGGACACCAACTTTAAACTGAGCACTCTGCAACTGAAACTTTTTGCTCTGAGCAAGTTAAAACCTGTGAAAAAGTGTCCTCACAGGTGTATAGGCCCCTTCATTCCTTCCCTTTGCCATTTACCATTATCCTTGCACTTAGGAAACGGCTGGCAATGAAATTCTTTTCCGCAAAAAAGCCTTGCCTACTTTTTCGGGCCTCCCAAAGTGCCAACTGAACACGGCGAAAATATGTGGAAAACAAGGAAAAGGGGAGAGGGGGAAGGGAGGAAGGGGGCTGGGAAGGACGAAGGACGCTCGTCCGATGGACGATGACAGTAATGAAACACGGAGATTTCCAACTACACATTTTTTGCCCGAAAACAACAAGGGGACACTTTTGCAGCACCATATCACGCACACAGTCGGCACAGCCAAGAAAAGGACCTGCTTTTCAGGAGCAAATAGCAACTACACAACGTGTAACAGGCAGTGCAAAAAGAAATCGAAACGTACAATTACCTACGGCAGCAGCTGCACGGAGATTTGAGATCTACAAGCAATATTTAAAAGTAAAAAAAAATAAAAAAGTAAAGTGAAAAGAAAAGAAAATAATATAAAATATAACTATTATTTTAATATACCTATTAAAGCAAAAAGTAATATAATTGTAAAGTGATATTACCAAAAAAATATATATAATCTTTCATTATTTAAAATCACAAATAAATAAAATAGTAAAGTGAAAAGTGAAAAGCAAAAAACTAATATTAAATCTTAATTACATACAATAATGAAACAGTCATATAAATCGAAATAACAGTTACCTTAAAATTGGTATTTTGATATTACAAGTTAGAAATATCCACATCCTTAAAAAATTTTAAATAAAGATTTTAGATCTGAATTTAAGTTGGTAGAATAATAATAATAAAATAAATAACCATATAAAAATTAAAATAGCTTTTTTGATATTACAAATTATATCCTTAAAATATATCTTTCAATAACCTTTTTAGTATAAATGTTATTTTTTCGCTGAGCTTTCCAACTGCACCTGTGTGCGTGTTTGTGCGTTTGCATGGGCGTAGATGTCTGTGTGTCTGTGTAATAGCCCAAAACGGCAATGTTTAATTAAAAACGATAAAGGACACAACGCCGGCAATGGGCAATGCAAATAAGAGAGTGAATGAAAGGGGCGCAAAAGGGGGGTGGGCTGGCCCATGGGTGGTGTTGTGAGAGGGGTTTACAGGGGAGGTGGAGGGGGGTGTCTGCATTCATCAGACGTCGCTCGATTGACAAGCAGCGGATGCAGCAGGGTACCCCAGTTACATTTATGTTCCCCAGGACCCTCCTCCCTTTTTCTTAGCCACCCACCCACGCACACGCCAAACAAATTGAAAGCGGAAATGTGCACCCAACCCCCCTTCTGCCCCGCCCATGTGGCCAGCATGAGGAAGCGAACTGACAAATAAAATTTCACTCGAACTGAAAGCCATTTTTCCGTTTCCATTGGGAATTCGCAAATTCGAAATGTACGAACACGAATGCGAATGCGAATGCGAATCTTGGCTCAGATACGTTTGAGGGTTATGATGACAGGCGGACGGGGCCAATATTTATAATTGCAGTCAATAAACATTGCATAATTGTAATGGCCATCAATTCGGGCCGAGGTAGAAACCAATTCAATTTGATCCTGCGAATGGGAATGGAAATGCAAATGGGCATTGGGTTTGGATGGGCCTCTCACAAATGGAGATACAAACGAAAGGCATGTACAAATTTCCTGGGCTTTTGCATATTTAATGCCAGAGAATTGTTAAGCAATTGACATTTACCAACAAAACCTCTTTGTACTCAACAAGTTAAATATTAAGTATTATATTGTGTCAATTACCAAGTGTCCCAGAATTATAACTATTATATACTGTATTGAAATTGTTGTAAGCTAAGCTTCCCAAGCTTCTTTAAAAACATTGTTTGAAAACAATCCTTTGAACATATCCTTTGGAGGTATTCCACTTTAAATTCAACCTAAAATTTAAAATAAACAAGCTACTGGCTCCATCTAGCGGAAATTTCAAAAACCTGGATCCCAATTTTTTACAAAAAAATAATTCGTTTTTTCACCATAACAATGGAAATATTGATCCAAATATGGATTGTCATACCTTTCTGAGCTCGTTATTAAATTTCCTATCGATTGGCATTTAAACCTGGACATTTTATTTTTTTGACATTTTTCGCAAAAAATTATGATGTACCGCCTTATAAAAAAAATTGAAAATTGACAAAAATTTTATTTATTCAAAATCACGCGGAAACTGTTATGGATTTATTGCTTATTTTATTATCTGTTCAAAGCAGTATGCCTTTTTGGTGTAGGACCATTTTTGGCCCTTTTACTTAACGAGTGACGGGTAAAAAAAGTGTACTTAAATGTATATTTATTAACTATTTTTCCGAGTGCACTCACCTTGCCCTGGGACGAGGAGATCGTTGAGGCCGACGGCGTGCCCGAGGATTGTGCGCTTAAATTGGAGCGGCTGCTGTTCGCTTGCATCGCGCAAGGCAGGGGCGCCACTTCAACGGGGGCACCTGTTCGCCCTTATCCGGATTCTGTTCCTGCTCCTGCTCCTGTTCCTGTTGCTCTACCTCAGCTCCAAGTCCAACTCCAACTGGCATCAAAGACACGGCCGATGCACCTGTTGGCTGCTCCTGGCAATGGAAGGCGGAGAAGGAATCGGATTCGGATTCGGATTTGGATTCGGATTTGGATTCTGATTTGGTTTTGGACTTGGATTCGGATTCGGAATCGGAAGTGGAGATGGCGACAGAACCGAAACCCAGGACGCACTGATGCTCATTGCTCCTGCAGTCCAATCGCCTCAGATCGAAAGCATATCGTCTTTGGATTGTACTTAAATTTAACAGCTTATCGTTGATTTTTGTTTAGCGCTCTAAGTCGAATAGTTCCGTGGTAAGACTTGATGTTCTGAAAGAAAGGGAAGAGGAAAATATTGAAATAAAATATTATATTATAAATATTATTATATTACAAACAAAAAATATTTTATAAAATCAAATTATACAAATTGGTTTTTTTTAGAAATGTAAAAAAATATTACTACATTTTAAAGAAATTATTTTGATAGTCTAATTTTAAAGATCTTTTTTGTAAGTCCAAATTAAACATCTATTGTACGTATTCCTTGTGAATGGTCTTTTTCAGGGTGTTTGTCTCTCGATTGTCCTTTTTTTCGGCATTGCCAAGAATAAAATACTTCCTCTTACGCGGAGTGAAGAAAAATCAACAGAAAAAGGAGCTCTACCGGCAGCGCAGTCGCCGCGCAGCAGCGGCGCTAGCAGTTCAGTAATGGCCAAAAATAGGGCTAGGTCATCCACATTTTGAAACCACCCACATTTTCAAAAAAAAAAAAAAAAGAATAAATAAGTTCACAAAGAGAAAATACATATTTTAGCATTTTAAAACTATTTTTGAGTAAATCTTAAATTTAAAAACTGCTAAAAGATGGTAATGGGTATTGATTAATTAATTACCAATCAGTAAAATATAAAAATTAAAAACCAATAAAAATTAATCTTTGTTTTTAGAAAATATTTAAATAACATTGCCCAGAGTTTTCCAGTTTCTAGCAATTTTAATAGATTAAAGCTCGAAAATAAATCCCCGTGCAAAGTACGATGAATGTTTTGCATGGACAAGGACAAAAGCGAAGCAGAACAGAACTGAAGAGAAGCATCCTTTTGGATGGCCAAAAAGGATGCTGCAGTCACGCCCATCGAAAAAGGGGCGACAGCATTTCCATGCCAAGGGCAGCTTGGAGCACCCCATTACCAGCCGAAATCCCCAGCACCCTCCGCATCGAAAAACCACCCACAACCCCCCGGTTTTTGCCACTTTCGCAGCGTTTTTTGGATCCCCAAGCCCAAGCACATTTTGCGGCGCAGACATAACCTCAACTTCTTGCGCGCTGCTTACCACGCTGCCCGCGTCGCAGTCGGCGTCGCGGTTACCAGCGGCAGAGCCCGGGCAGAGGCAGCCATTTTAGAGGCCAGGCAACAGCTTTACATGGAATTATGTCTATATATATGTATGAGTGTGTGTGTGTGTGTATGTGTTTGTCTTTGTATACGATTGTATGCGTGTGTGTGAAGGCAGCCATCCGATTTTCCCCCGATTTTTCTTTTGGCAAAGGCGAAAATAGTGTCAAGGAAACTATTGAGAGACGGTAAAGAAATTAAATAATAGATTAAGTAAGCTGTCAGTCAGCGGGACTAAAATCCTTCTAATTTTAGGCTTGAATTTTAAACTTTTCCAGGGGATAACTAAAGGTATTTCACATCAGTTAAGCAGTTCCCAGGTTTTCTTGCCTAATTAGTAACTCGTTTATTCCTTGAAATAAGCTAAAGTTTAAAAATTCTAAACAAAATTAAGAAGTTTTAAAGTGTCGCTTAAGTTTATCGAAAACAAAATGAGAATATTATAAATAACCATATTTAAAGCCTAACTTACCTCTGATTTTCTCAGTTGAAGATGATTTCCCTTCGCTTGATTAGTGATTACATTTGTTTAGACTTAATTACTTGATCTATTTTGGCTTCTGGTTGTGCGTTTCGTTTGCCTTAAGATTACTATATATAATTACTAAATTTGTTGGATTTAATTTGTTGTATTTCTTGTGCGCTTGGGACGCTCTTTGCATCATCGGCTGTTTTACATTTTTGCCCTGGCTTTTAGCATTTTTCTCGTATTTTTCCTTTTTTTTTTTTTTGTTTTAGCCAGGGATTAAAGAACGGCACAAAAAAAAAGTTACCAAAAAAACAACAAGAAAATAGCGACACACACACGCGCGCAAAATCACACCCACACGCGCACACACACACACACACAGACACACGCACACACACTGACAAACGCGCACGCGGCGGAGAAAAAAAAATATTGAGAATTTTTTTGGGACAGCGGCAAAAATATTTTTGTGCGTAAGGATATATTGTATTTGGTTTTTGTCTACATTATTTTTGGGGGCGTCGAGAAGGGCGTTATTTTATGATTTTTACTTATTTTTTAATATTCGGTTTTCGAGCTGAGAGTTCTGGGTTTTTTTTCGGTTTCTATTGTGTGTGATTAGTTGCGTTTGCCGTATTTTTAGCCCGTTCCGGAGGATTTATTACGTGCAGTCCGCCCGTGCGCTGCGCACGCCCGCGTCTGCCGCCGATTTGGAATTGCCACGACGTTGCGTTGAAATGTTGCGCGTAACTGAGTGGCACAGCCTCTGCTTCTGCTTCTGCCACAGCCACAGCCACTGCCTCAGCTCCCGAGGATGCGGATACGGATGCCGATGCCCGATGCCGATGCCGATGCCGAAGCTCTCCTCTCCTCTCCGGGCGAAAGCGAAGCCCAGCGGTACGGGTCCTGCTGCCTGGCCCGTAGTGTCCTGCGCCGCTCTGTTCCAGGCTCCGGATCCGGCTCCGGCAAAGGCTGCGACTACGACTACGACCACGGCTGCAGATATGGCGCTATATCAGGCATCAGCCCGGTTTGGCTCGGCTCAGCTGCCAACGAATGCCGAGGCACAGTGGGCTTAAAATTAATTTTTTTTTTGGTGATGATAAATTATAATTTATTTCCCGTTTTACCTAAAGATACATTTTCATTTTTCATCCTAATAAAATCTCTGTAAAGCAACAAAGTTAATTCTACAAAAAAAAACACTTTTTTTAATTTTATGTGTACCTACAACCAAAAATTTGTTTTTAAATTTTTATCGAAAACGACATATATTTTTGTTGCACTTACTCAGACTTTTCTATAATGTTTATTAAATACATAGGGAGGACCCTTCAGTTGTAAATAAGGTATCAACCACTTTTTACCATTTTTATTTAAGAAGTTCGATCAAAAAACATTTCTTAGATCTAGTTTTGTCAACTATTTCCTATATTTGTAATGTAAATCTACCACTGCTACTGACTGTCTTAATGAGAGGCTAAACTTTAATCTATATTTTTAATGTTAATGTATTAGTTTAATTATTTATTATTATTTAGTTTGGAAAATTTCCTAATAAGTATTTTTTATTTTATTTGTTTTAATATCCCGATGATGTTAGACTATGCCTATTTGATTGGGTTATAAAAAACAAATAGATTGAACATTTTTGTAGTAGGAACTTAAATATTACATCCAGATCTATCCCACTGTGCGATGCCGACGCTGGACCAAAAGGATGAGCGGCAGAGCAGAGCAGCAGCCGAAAAAACACGAGCGCAGCCGAAAGGACGCCCCAAAGGAAAGAGGGGGAGTGGCCGGAGGGGAGGCGGCTGTTTGGCTGATTTACAAAACACATGGCACGGAATAGACCGACCACCCACCACCCACTACCCATCACCTGCCACCCACACAAGGGCGCGTGTTGGGCGCCTGACGAGAATCACAGTCGCCGAAAGGCGAAAGGAAGAGAGCCAGTGGCGCAGGGGGTGGATTGCAGGGGGGGTGCGGAGATGGATACACAGGATACACAGCGTTTCGTTCCGCGGTGCAACAGCAACATCATCATCAGGCCGTATCCTCGTCGGCAAAACAGCAAAGCAGCCCAGCAGCCAAAGCAAAAGCAGCGGCAGCAGCTGTAACCCCCCTCCACGGATTTGCCCGACTCCTCTGCAAAAAACATGCGCAGCACGAAATCGCTGAAAATCAAATCGGAAAACATATGACAGTGACATTTCATCTGAAACGTGATTTTAAATAATTATTTCACACGATATTTTTCAAGAGAAGGTAAAAAAATAGTAATACAATAGTTTGTATTAACATCTTAACTTCTAAAAAGATAAAAATAATAAAAGATACCTTTTAATATCTAGCAAGTTTTATTGAGGTCTAATTTAATTAATTTTATTAATAGATAATTTATTCTGTTTAATTAAACCTACTTATTATTTTTACAGAAGTTTATTTTGAATTCAAATTTAAATTCGATAAAGCAGTGGTTTTAGGATCGATATTATCGGTACCGATAGCAACTTATCGGTCAAGTATACAAAATATATATTTTTAATAGAACTGCCGTTTTCGTTATGTGTTGTAGTTTATCAATGAATTTCACACGAAAATAATTATAAATTTATTAAAAATAAATTATAAGCTTATCGATAAGAAACATATCAACCCCGAAAAGGCGATATATCAAAAATCATCGTTTAACCAACACTGCTACCCTGGTATTTTTTAGTACAAATACAAATGGAACTAGTTCAAAATCCGCTACCCCGTTCATGTGACCCCAATAAAATGCCTTATAAAAGAGAATATTGCTACCGAAATAAATCAAAATTAATTTAAATATACACGTAAGAGTAGTTTCAATATATTGGCTGGCAAAAAGATGCCCTCCAACCGGAACCAAAATCCAAAGTGAGCCACAAAACAAACCAGTTCAGGTGGCTGGGTCCAAAGACCAGTTCAATTAAACTAGTTCACATTTGAACAGTGCAACTCTAGTTTTTTTTTTTTAATACATATATGTTTTAAAAACATATGCGGAATCGCGAGGATAAAACGGATCTAACCGATTGCAAAGGATCAAGGATAAAGGCGACGTAACATACGCAACGTTCACGACGACAGCGACGCCGACTGCGACGCCGACAGCGACTGAGCGACCGTGGCGACAATGGTGTGCCGTGCGTGTGTGTGTGTTTTGTATCGTGTTGTCTGATTGTGTGCCGTTGTTGTTGTTGTTCTTCTTCTGGCTCTTATTGTTGTTGTTGTGCGTGTGGCCAAACGGACGGACAGTGGGACAAAACGACGGACGGAGTGGATGCTTGCGATATCCTAGCCAGTAAGTTGACCCCACCCCACCCCCGTTATAACTAATATTACTAAGCCTCCTCTCCCTCTCCCTCTTCTACTTCTTCTTCCTCCTCTCCGTTGCGTTTTTATCTCTCTTTCGCACACAGGGAAACAATAGCAAAAACAAAGGGGTAAACAGGGTTTCCATGTCGCCAAAAGTGGGCCTTTGATGCCCAGGACGAAGGACGAGGAGGACCAGGAACAGGACAATGCTGCCCATCAGCGAGGAGCAGCAGCAGCAGCAGCAGCAGCGGCAGTTGGAGCAACTGCATCACCAGCAGATCCCGGAAATTCCCATATCCGGCGATCTGGAGCAAGTGGAGCCCCAGGTGGGCGATGGCAGCCTGTGGACCGCGCTCTACGACTACGAGGCGCAGGGCGAGGATGAGCTGACCCTGCGGCGCGGCGAAATAGTGGTCGTCCTGTCCACGGACAGCGAGGTTTCCGGCGATGTGGGCTGGTGGACGGGCAAAATCGGGGATAAGGTAGGGCAACCCCCTCAATAGAGTTCCCAAATTAACCCCTAATCTTCCCCAGGTGGGCGTCTTTCCCAAGGACTTCGTTACCGACGAGGATCCCCTCCAGCTGAACGTCTCCTCCGCCATCGGCGACATCCAGCCGCACGAGATCGAGTACAGCGAGCTGGACATCAAGGAGGTCATCGGCTCCGGTGGCTTCTGCAAGGTGCATCGCGGCTACTATGATGGCGAGGAGGTGGCCATCAAGATTGCCCACCAGACGGGCGAGGATGACATGCAGCGGATGCGGGACAATGTCCTGCAGGAAGCCAAGCTCTTCTGGGCCCTTAAGCATGAGAATATAGCCGCCCTGCGCGGCGTCTGTTTGAACACCAAGCTCTGTTTGGTTATGGAGTACGCCCGCGGCGGCAGTTTGAATCGCATCCTGGCCGGAAAGATACCGCCCGATGTCCTGGTCAATTGGGCCATACAAATAGCCAGGGGCATGAATTATCTGCACAACGAGGCGCCCATGTCGATCATACATCGCGACCTCAAGTCATCCAATGTGCTGATCTACGAGGCCATCGAGGGCAATCAGCTGCAGCAGAAGACGCTGAAGATTACCGATTTCGGTTTGGCCCGCGAGATGTACAACACGCAGAGGATGAGCGCGGCGGGCACGTACGCCTGGATGCCGCCGGAGGTCATCAGCGTGAGCACCTACTCCAAGTGAGATATTGGATTTATTTTCAGGGAGAATTGTTCAAGAATTAAACCCCCTTCTTTTCGCTTTAGATCCTCGGATGTTTGGAGCTATGGTGTTCTGCTCTGGGAACTGATTACGGGCGAGACGCCCTACAAGGGCTTCGATCCCTTGTCGGTGGCCTATGGCGTGGCTGTCAACACGCTGACCTTGCCCATACCAAAAACCTGCCCAGAAACCTGGGGAGCCTTGATGAAAAGTGGGTAATATATCCATCCAAGTTTGCCAAATCTAATTGAGAAACCCCGTTTACAGGCTGCTGGCAAACGGATCCCCACAAGCGGCCTGGTTTCAAGGAGATACTCAAGCAGCTGGAGAGCATCGCCTGCTCCAAGTTCACGCTGACGCCCCAGGAATCCTTTCACTACATGCAGGAGTGCTGGAAGAAGGAGATCGCCGAAGTGCTGCACGACTTGCGCGAAAAAGAAAAGGTATTTGCCGCCTGGGGAAAACTAAGCCAACTCCTGTTCCCCGTTAGAGTTGCCCTAGATCGTTTCTAGATCGTTCCTTGTTGGCCCTACGCCGCTCTTCAGTTCTTCAGCTCCATTCTCGCCCCCCATTTATCCCACTTGGTCGTTGATGAAATTCTAATAATTTGGTATATACTTTCTCTCCGAAAAACAAAACAAAATTCCCCTGTAATCCAAAAAATCCAACGACGTTAAGCGTTTCCAAACCATCGAAGAGGTAAGCGCGTCCAACAGGTTTCTCTCTGCCCGCCATTTGCGTTTAAGTTGCGTTGCGTTCGTTCTGTTCTGTTTACCCCACGTTACTTTGCCTTTACCCCCTAAGTTACCCCGTCTTTTGTTTGGATACCACCTTTCCCAAACAGCCAACATCACTCAAGCCAACTGCTGCATGGTTTCTAGTTTCTAGTTCATAGTTAAAAGCTATTTCGTAGCACTTATCCCCAAATACAGAGCAAGCCTAACCCCACACTAACCCCCCACGTTCCGCCATGTTGTCCCTTTAATCCCGCCAGGAACTGCGCAACAAGGAGGAGCAGCTGCTCAGGGTGCAGAACGAGCAGCGCGAGAAGGCGACCCTGCTGAAGATCCAAGAACAGATTCTGCGCGAGCGCGAAATGGTGCTGATCGAAAGGGAGCTGGTCATGATGCAGCCGGTGCCGTCGAAACGAAAGCCCAAGAAGGGTAAAAAGGTAAGTGTTTTGTCTTGAAGAGTAAGTTTTTAATTGTAATATTTCCCCCATTTGTCTTACAGAACAAACCGCTGCAGATATCACTGCCCACGGGCTTCCGGCACACCATTACGGCCGTTCGCGACAAGGCGGAGCAGCCCGGTTCACCTTCCTTCTCCGGACTGCGCATCGTGGCACGTGAGTACCCATCTTAGTCATCTCCCCTAATTCAAATTACAAATATCTGATTAGCCTGGGGTAGAAGATCTCACAATTAGGTTATCAGACAACTAGTAGTACTTAATGTGTGACTAATTGTCTAAAAAAGTGCCATTCAAGACTGTCTGAATTTGTATACCTCTTACTCTATGAGTAAAAGTGTTTATTTAAAGATTTCGAAAATGTATAGATGTGTTTGTTAATACCCATCGAAATGTAGAAGAAATTTTTCAATTCGCATCATTCTTTGAAAAGTTATGAGCAAAAAAAATAATAAAATTCAAGCAGTGCAAGCAGTTGCTTTGCTGCATGCATTACCATTTTCATGGCTTACCTCCTGAAACGCACTTTACCTCGAATACGTTTCCATTACGCACTGGGTGCACCATGCATGTCTTGCAGATAAGATTAGGCATCCAGTTAAGTCGGAGATTAGTCAGGAGATCGGAATGTACGATACTTTCTAATCAGTAGTATATTTACCTTTTTGTTTGCATATTTTCGTTATCTTTTATTCAACCTATGATTTGATTTTTTGTATATTTGATTGATTTGGTTTTTTCTTTCTTTATTTTCCTTACTTGTTTTTCCCTCTTATGTTGCGTATTATTTTGGTCACCCGATCAGTGACCGATGGGCACAAGGGCAAGACGTGGGGCCCGTCGACGATGCACCAGCGGGAGCGATCCCTGCTGCCCCCGCAACTGGGCGGCGGTCAGCCGGAGTGGCCCGCCCAGACCTCGACCCACTCCTCGTTCAGCAAGAGTGCTCCGAATCTGGACAAGAAGCAGCAGCAGCAGCAGCAGAACCAGCAGCAACAGGTGGCCTCCCTGACGCCGCCGCCGGGTTTGGGAGCTTTGGGTGGAAGTGGAAGTGGCGGCGTTGGTGGGACGCCGGCCACGCCCCTGTTGTACACAGGTATACCCTATTTACTAACGCGCCCCAACAACATTGGCAGTTGTAAAGCCATCACCACCATCACAACCACCAACAACACCACCACCACCACCACCACAACCAACAACAACAACAACAGCATCTCCGCCAACAACAACAGCAATCAGCTAAATAATAATAGTACTAGTAATAGCAACAATAACAGTCAAACTAACCCGACCTCCCAGCAAAACGGCAGGAGCAACTCCAACAGCAGCACCAGCCAATCGCCAATAGCAAAGATGTACCATCGGGCCAGGAGTCAGGAGTACGGCCTGGATTATCCTCCGCCACCTCCGCTCTATCTGGTAACCGATGACAGCTCGGAAACGGACACGGTGGCCAGTCCAACCGGTTGCTTTCACTTCCTCAAGTCCGGCCACTCATCCTCCGTTTCGAATCAAGTTAGCGGTGCCAGCGTGCATCTGCATCGCTTTGGCGGCAGTCTGGGCAACAGTCCCGCTGTCGGCAGGAAGAAACACTCGCTGGACAGCAGTGGCCATCCTCCGCCGCCGGTCAACAACAGCATTAGTTTGGCCCTGCCCAATCAACTGACGCTGCCGTCAGAGGATAATAATACGTACGATCATGCCTTCTATCGGGATGTCATCAAGAAGATGTCCATGGCCAGCAGCGAACGGGTGAATTCCAAGTCCAGCGGTGATCTGACCATGTACAACTCCAGCACTCCGCTGACGGCCAGAAATTGCGATGATGCCGACGAGGAGGAGGCCTGCGAGGGCGGACGCTTTCAGCGCAACTTCAGCGGCTCGCAGTTTCCGCGTCACTGCTTCTTCACCAGGCAAGAAAACGATCTAGAAGCAGAAGCAGAAGCAGATGAGGCGGAGGTGGAGGAGGACTCCCTGGAGGATGAGGGCCAAGTGCCCGTTAATCAAATGCGCCAGAACTCTACGACGTCGCGCAAGAGCTCGGTGACCTTCCAGAGCGTCAGTTTCGAGGAGCCCACGCCAGCGACGACTGCCAGATCGGATCTATATACATCCAGTGCTTCCATAAGCTTCGCCACCTACCGCTCTGCCTCGCCCTCGCTTTCCTCGTCCTCCACAACCGCTTCCGCCTCCGCATCGATTGCCTCGTCCGGTGGCGAGATGATTCAGGGTGAAGCCTGGACGGCACGTCGCATGGTCAATGTCCAGCCGCATTCCGATGTCATCAAGATGAAGGAAGATCTGCAGCGTCAGCACAGCAAGAACCAAAGGAAGCACCGGCCCAAGCACATCACCAAATCCAAGTCTGTCGAGGCGCCAGTCGAGGGACAAAATCTAAATCAGCATCAGCATCCCCATCACCATCATCATCATCATCACTCCAAGTTCCGATCGCTGCTCAATCTGTTCACGCGTTCGCGCAAAAAGTACAGCAAGCTGGCCGAGCACAACCTGATGGGTGGATCCGACTTCAGTGCCATCGATCCCTTCCAAACTGACCTGGCCATCGGCGGCAGCAGTCGCTCTTTAAAGCGCAAGGGCAAGAAGCCGCAGACGCAATCCTGCGAGCAACTAGAGCGATGCTGAGGCAAAATAAGAGCTGTGCTGCTGTTGGAACCGCCTAATTAGCTCGTTGTTTTATATTAAAACTCTAGACTAAGTCAGACGAGAAAGATAGAAAGAGAACAGACGAAAGATTAGCCATAGCTAATGTGTCAAAATAGGAGGACTTGGATGCCCCCCGTCTAACGAAATCATTAAACCACCCCCCCTTTCCGAACCGAATTGTTCCTAACGAATGCAATATGCTAAATCTACAAGCTACAAACCAGATTTCCCCATTAGTCCAGTGATTTTCCTAAAACGAAATTGCGGAATCAGATTAAACGGATAGACTAACGCTGCTTATACGTAGACATCCAAAAAATAAAAAAAACAAAACAAAACACCTGCATGGGCCAATGGCAAAATATTCAACTAAACCATTTACATTAATGTGTAACACTTGGATTAACCTTAAGTAAACCATATTGCTATATTTATACCGATGCGTATAGGCGTCCTTACATTACATTACACACATCTTAGTTGAACTAAGTTTAATTGTTTAGGAACTCCAACACTTTTTTTTGTTCGTGTCTTCCCCTTTTCCCTCCTCGATGTAAGAGATCTTTTCCAAATTTTCATCGCTTTCCGAATTTCGCTTGGCCCAAGCTTAACGAAAATTCGCCAACGATTTGCGGAGGACTCTTAATTTTAATTCCTTATTTGATATCCAACTCCTTTCGGTATTTTGAGCACAGTTTTATTTACATTTATTACGCAATCGGGTTTTCCAATTTATTTATTTATGATTTCTTTTACAAAAGCACATGAGTAATACGCGCAAAAACGAAAAAAAACCTGTGATCAGAAGACGATGATGGAAAAAAGAAATGATAATTTTTTTGTATTATTTTATGAAAATTTTCAATTGTATATTTATATTCATTTTACGATTTGTTCATTTTACGTTTACTGCTCGATTCGATTTGTACTTTGTATATTAATGTATTTTCCAATTTGGGGCCAAGCCAACCCAACAAAAAAAAAAACAAAAAATAAATAGAATCAATCTTAGAAACATAAATCCGACAATAAAACCAACTAAAGAGAATCTGCCGACCAGTTTTGATTGTTTGTCAGCCTTGAAAGGCACAGAGAAAAGCCAATTAGCCATATATTTATATAGTAATAAATACCTAGTTATTATTGGATTTTCTCTGTGCCCAAGCATAATCCCCTTTCGGACAGAGAGATAAACATCTAAACGAACTGAGACTTCTGGTATGCGGTGGCTAAACCTTGGTATTGCCTGCGGTTACTATCCAACTACTCGAAACCCCTCCGAAAACCCGACTACCGACCACCAACTATCGATCCCCAAGCCAGAGCCAAATTCCGTAACTCAATCATGTCTCATATCCGCCTCGGAATGCCGCCGATCGATCGTCCAGGATACCAGGGACACAGCAAGATGGATGACTGGCGCCCGGGGGCCACCAACATGCCGATTATGTCGCCATCGCCGTATCTCCTCAGCCGCTTCACCAGCAACGTTCCCCTGCCGACGCTCTACGCCGGCGATTCGGCAAGAAAGCCGAAGCTCTCGGTGATCGAGCTGCTGCTCTACAACATGGCCTCCCTGCTGGCCGGAGTGGCGGCTGGCTACGATGTCCGGATGTCGAACGTGTCGCCAGTGCATCCCACGTTGCTCAGCGAAGTGCCCGCTTTGAAGGCGGCCCCGAAAGCAGTGGCTTCAATCACCGAGGATCAGGATAAGATCGTGGAACTGGAGGTGGAGGCGCCGCCCAAGCAGCAGGAGGACGAACAGCAGCAGGAAATAAGAGAGAGCACGCCCAGAAAGATGGTCAGCCAGACGAGGTAAGAATATTTAAAAAAAAATTTAAAAACGCGAATTCTTGAGGTTTACGCTTTTCCACAGATTTAGCGGCATGGAAGCTCCGGTCAGCAAGTCACAGCCCACATCCCTGGCCCGTCGCATTGGCGGCAGTCAGCCGTATTACACGCCCGTTCAGCGGACACCACAGCACCAGTTGCACCACCCGCAGCAGCACCACCAGCACCACCAACCCCAGGCGGTGCCATCTGCTGTGGTCACAACAGTGGCGGCCTCACAGCCACCAGTGAGTGCTCTCTATGCCGGAACCCAGCCACCAACGCCATCGCCACGCCGCAAACTGAGCAACAGCAGCTTCGGCAATCCGAATCCCCAGCCGGAGGCCTTCGAGGAGTTCCGAGTGGGCGGTGGCATCGGTCCACCGCCGCTCTATGCGCCAGCGGATTACCTGAGAAACGGGCCGAGCTACTCCAACGATGGGGGGAACTACCGGAATGGTTACTTTGGTGAGTTGCACAAAGAATATACCCTTGCAGATCTTTCCTATTAATTTTATAATCGCAAAAATGTTAAATTTCCTATTATTTCTCATTATCTTTCCGATTGTTCCTAGGGCAGCTACATGATATAGAAGTTAGATTTTGATAACATTAAAATCAAAATATTTAAAAAGAGTCATATCCCACAGCAGAAGAGAATACAATAAAAACCAACAAAGCAATAATTTATTTCATAATATATTTCCATTAATTTTAAATTTTAATGGAATTAAATTCGAAATTCAGAATTAGATAAATAATTGTATTTCCAAAAGTAGGAGGTTATATGTTAAAAAACACCCAAGATATAATTTTTTATATTTTTTTTCTCGATTATTCCTATGGGAGCTATATGATATAGGCTCGTTCCAACTTATATACTACCTGCAAGAGAGAAAAGACTTTTGTGAAAGTTTTAGCCTGATAGCTTTAAAACTGAGAGACTAGTTTGCGTAGAAACGGACGGACAGACATACGGACAGACGGACATAGCGTTGCGATATTCTGACTGAAATCATAATACCCTCTGCAAGGGTATAAAAAGGGTTGAATATTGTTATCCTAATCTCATACTGCTCTCCCTTTTAAGGTTCCAACTACTTCCCCTACCGACCAGAGTTGAACTACAGCTACGAGCGTGACTGCAAGTCGTATCCGGACTACTCGTACGACTACAACCATCGGCTGCCCGACTACTACGACTACCAGTACGAGGCGCCAGTGGTTCCCGTTCCCGTGCCGGTGACCGTTCCCTGTCCGGTCAGCCAGACCCGCACTCCGCCGCCCCGAGTGCCCCAGATGGGCGTGAGTGCAGCGGGACACCGACGCACTCCCTCCACCGTTTCCAATAACTCCAATGTGCTGCTGGAGCACGAGGAGCTGCTCTGCTATGACTACAATAATCTCAATCTGAATGCGGATTATGAGAGGGAGAGGGAAAGGGAACGGGAGCAAGTGCCTCCACCCACGAAACAAGAGCTCTATGCAGGATCACCGAAGCTCCTAAACCGGCTGATCCACAGCCCCTTGCCGATGACCAAGAGCAAGTATGCCACGGCGGCGGTAACGCGACCGGCCAGCCTGCCCTTCGAGCAGCACGCCCTTTCGCTGGGCTACCAGCAGGTGGGCTCCCTGCCAGCACCTTTGGCCAGCGGCCAATCCAAGCTGCGCAGCTCGCTGAAGAAGTACAATGGCGGCGGAGGAGGAGGAGGAAATGGCTCCACATCCTCGCAGCAGGGCACACCCACTAATCCCACGCCGCCGGACTCGCTGACCAGCGACGATAGCTCCTATCTGAGTGCCAAGGAGGGCTCCATTGGCTCGCAGCACAGCCGGGTGCGCTTCAGTCCGGAGGCCTATTTGGATGCCAATCCGCTGCCCACTTTGGGACGCAGGATGACGGCTCCGGCGATGCAGTTGCCGCATCAGCAGCAGCAGCAGAGGCGCCAGCGACAGGCCTCCAGTGGCAGCACACCATCGCCTTCGGCCTCATCCTCCTAGCAGACGCGACTGGCGCTGACCCTGCAGTTGGCGCGGAGTCCAGGAGCGGACATCGGAAGCGGAGGAGGAGGAGCAGCTGGCTTGACACTCCATCAGCAGCGGGTTCCCTATCGCTGGTACTCGGGAGCCCGGCGATCTCGGTCGGCCCACTACGAGTACCGCCTGTGAAAGAGTGGGAAAGGCTCATGAATGCAAGCGAAAAAGAAAGGGATGGCCGTAGAATCTAGACGAGATCGGAGGAGAATTGATAGGGGAAAAATATGTGGAGTGGTGGTGGGAAAATCAAGAGAAAGGCAGTAAATCTAAAAAATCAGCATCATAAGTTCTGCTGAAATTAAATAATCATTTACAAAAGTAAATCAAGCAATTAAGGATAAAAAAATAATATCAAAGGTCGCGTAATCCCATGGAAATAATGGGTTTCAGGAAGAATTAGAAGATATATCAAGGGAAAAAGTTAGAAGCGTTTTTACCTCACAGTTCCAGATATTAAAGGATCTATAGCAGGACTCACAAAAGCAGCCTATACCCACTGTCTGTACATAAAAGTAGTTAACAAGTTGTTCACACCCAAGTAAATATATCAAATTCGATGTTAATATTAGCCAACAGATATAGGGGCGTTCTAGATTTTTGGAGACCTTTTCCGACGGTGTATCGTAGCCTCTTAGGAACTCATCTTCGAAAGCTGTAGAACGACCCCCCAAAACATACACAACCCCCGACTTGTGCGATTTGCCTTAAAAGTAGAGTGAAGACTTCACTAGTTTTGCCTGATGCCGGATTCCAAAAAAGCCACTCATCTTAACGAATCCCAATCCCTTGTATAAGATCTACGATTCAACCGATGAACAAATAGTTTGATATAGCTAATATACTCCCATTTATGTATTATATATATATATTATATAGGTATATTATAACAAAGACGAGGGTCTCCACTTGCGTTCTCCGATTCAGATTAAGTGCAGCCAGCTAGCAAGCCATCAACAAGAACAAGAACAACAATAATTAATAATACTTTGTAATTCCGAGGACACCACATCCCAATCAAGACACACGCCAGCCGTAAGCTCCATTTTTAAGTCTGACAAAATGTTTATATATTAATATATATTTATAGACACCTAGATATAGACCGATATAGACGCGTTAACCCAAACCTCTAGCTCTGAATTGAATAACAGTATAGCTCGATCGATTTACAACTACTTATAATGGATATATACTATATAGATATATATACACATATAACGAAGCATATTGCTGCTGTTTTTTCCAAATAATGAATAGCTATGATAATGATATAATGGCGATGAATTTGACTACCTTTACATATATATATATATATGCCACGTACATAGATATTTCAACTAAAATGCTTTACATAATAAGCGATAGCCGTTGATATTCGAGGTGTTTTGCCAGTTTGTCGGGGTTTGAAAAATGTCTGGATTTATTTAAAAATATTTTTTAAATCCCCAGAAATATACGAAACACCCCGGATAATGTGTAATCTGATCGCAGCCTGCACAAATAGCTTCCTTCGACATTTAAGTTACTCGACTCGTTTGCCACTCGAACGGAACTCAAACTCTAGAGTCTCTAGACCATAGTATTCAATTTGGGCCACTAACCACCGCCCATCCTCATGCATATATTTACCAATTAGTATCTATAATTTAGACAAATTGTTGTTTATGCTCACACAAAGCCGAAGTTAACCAAAAATAGGAATCCGAATACGAATCCGAATCCGATTGACCAGAAACAATTGAAACTAAGCAATATAGCCACGCATCTGCCCGAAAGTTAACCTTAACATTTACCCACTAGCTTAATTGCATTCGCCTGCATTATTTATTAATTAGCCAGGGTTCGAGTTCTTAAGTTTATTTTGTATTTGCTGCTTAATTGCTTTGAATTAGCAAGCGGACAACAAAAAATGTAAGGGGTGAAATGGGGGGGGGTAGGACTTTCAAAAGGGGTTAAAAAGTTTGATCGGGGGGTTGGAGCGGCGGACTCACAAATATGCAATAACAAAATGCTGCTTGTGACTTATGTTATGTACAAATTAGCAATTAACAATTGACGATTCATTTAAATCATTCAGAGACCAAAATGCGAAAATAAAAACTATTTTTTATAGAAAAAAAAAAAAACTTTTCCTTAGTCGGCGAGCCTATAAAAGAGGCCTTTCGGGCAAGCGGTGGCCTCAAAAGTTAGCCAGCCATGAAGGTGAGCGGTCAGAAGGTTAAGGAAGTGGACAAGGAGGAGCTTCCCGAATCCCGGCGAGCCTTCAGGAACCTCTTCAACTGCTTCTATGCCTTGGGAATGCAGGCACCGGACGGAAGTCGTCCTACAAAGAGCGCCACCTGGCGGCGAATCTACCGCTGCTTTTCGGTGGTCATGTACGTGTGGCAGCTGCTCGTGGTGCCCACGTGCTTTGTGATCAGCTACCGTTACATGGGCGGCATGGAGATCACCCAGGTGCTGACCTCCGCCCAGGTGGCCATCGATGCGGTCATCCTGCCCGCGAAGATTGTGGCCTTGGCCTGGAATTTGCCCCTGCTGCGGCGGGCGGAGCATCATTTGGCCTCGCTGGATGCCCGGTGCCGGGATCGGGAGGAGTTTCAGCTGATCCTCGATGCGGTGAGGTTCTGCAATCGGCTCGTCTGGTTCTACCAGATCTGCTATGCCATCTACTCCTCCTCGACCTTCGTGTGCGCCTTCCTGCTCGGCCAGCCGCCCTACGCCCTCTACCTGCCCGGCCTGGACTGGCAGCGCTCCCAGCTGCAGTTCTGCATCCAGGCGTGGATCGAGTTCCTCATCATGAACTGGACGTGCCTGCACCAGGCCAGCGATGATGTCTACGCGGTGATCTACCTGTATGTGGTGCGCGTCCAGGTGCAGCTGCTGGCCAGGAGGGTGGAGAAGCTCGGACGCGACGGGCAGGCGGAGGCGGAGGAGATCTATCCGGATGCGAGGCGGCAGGAGGAGCACTGCGCGGAGCTGCAGCGGTGCATTGTGGACCACCAGACGATGCTGCGCCTGCTGGGCTGCATTAGTCCGGTCATTTCGCGGACCATCTTCGTGCAGTTCCTGATCACCGCCGCCATTATGGGCACCACCATGATCAATATATTTATATTTGCGAATACCAACACCAAGATAGCCTCGATTATCTACTTGATGGCAGTGACCCTGCAGACGGCGCCGTGCTGCTACCAGGCCACCTCGCTGATGCTGGACAACGAGAAGCTCGCCCTGGCCATCTTCCAGTGCCAGTGGCTCGGCCAGTGCGCCCGGTTCCGCAAGATGCTCCTCTACTACCTCCATCGCGCCCAGCAGCCCATCGCCCTGACGGCCATGAAGCTGTTCCCCATCAACCTGGCCACCTACTTCAGCGTAAGTCGGGGGAACTTTCTTATAAGAGGTATTTCTCCTTTAAAACAAGAGAAAATCATTAATTTATTTTATCAGAGAAAAAAAAATAGTACAACTTATATCTTTCATATTTTCATCGTTTTATTTTATATCGTTTGGTTAGATATTACCATCAGATATTACCATCACGGAAAGGATTTGAGTTATATTAATTTTAGCTTCTCGAGAATGAATAAATATTATGCCATTTTACTGTTCAGTGTAAGTCGGGGGAACTTTCTTATAAGAGAAGTATTAACAAAGAAATCAATAATTTATTTTATCAGAGGAAAAAAAATAGTAAAACTTATATCTTTTTATATTTCTACCCACATACCACATTTTGTATCGTTTGGGTAAATATTACCACCAGGAAAAAGATTTAGGTTTTATTCATTTTAACGTCCTTTTATTTTAACAAGCTAAGATAACTTTCTTATAAAAGGAATATTAAAAAAACCGAAATCATTTATTAATTTTATAAGAGGTAACAAAATAGTAAAGAAATATATTTTTCTTTTTTCCATCCAAATAACATATTTTATATCGTTTGGTTAAATATTACCATTACAGGAAGGATTTGAATTATATTCATAATAAATAAAAATAAATATTTGTAAATCTTGGAGAATATTAATAGTTTTTTTAGGTATATAATGTTAAAAAAACCCTTAAAAATAATTTTTTATGTATTTTCAGATAGCCAAGTTCTCATTTTCGCTCTACACGCTCATCAAGGGGATGAATCTCGGCGAGCGATTCACCAAGACAAATTAAAGGCCATTATCTTAGAGAGCACTGAAAATGAAATGCGATCGAATTAAATTCATTTTTAATTACGCATATTCTAGAACGAAGATTTAAAAAATATTAAGTTATATTATATTTTACAGTCCAAAAATCCCTTGAAACCTTTTTATTTAACACAATAAATTGAAAAACAAAATGTGCCAATTAAATGGGGCTTGCATATATGTTTATACCAGAACTTTTGCCACAGTGTATGCACTCTTTGAGACTTAACCGATTCCGAATTACAAGTGAAATCGATAATGATCGCTAATCGGGCAGAACAGAAGCCTGCTAACCACTGGATCGCATTGCTAAAGCTTCCATTGCCACATCCACAACCCTTGCCCACTTTTCTTTATCCCGAGGCGGAGCACCTGTCATCTTCATCTTCATCTTGAACTCGATCCCAGAACCACTCCTCCAACTCCACCTGGCCACCGATTCACCGATTTCTGGCCCAATTCGAAGTGGTGCCACACTTTGTGGTGCTTTACCGTTGACCGGAACACTGCGAGAAAACTATGTATAATATGGGTAAATTTATCTTAAGGATCAGTTTAATATAAGCATGGAAACTATGGAAAGAACTTAAGAATTTTTAAATATTATATAGTGAATCTACATAGTTTCGGAATATGATCTTTCCTTTTAAACTAGAACCTCTGGTATAATATTATAATAATAATATTATTACTTTTTCCCCTGTGCATTCCGTCGCCAAAGTGGAAAAGTGGAATGGAAAGGCTGGCTTTCCCAGTCTGGTTCTCGAATTCTGGCCAAGTTGGAGATATTTCCAGCTGGCCAAATGTTCTTCTGCTCTCGAGCCGACAGGTTCTGCTTATTTTTCGGTCCGTCGCGAAATTTCCCCGACTTGCGGATCGGATTCGCCACCCAAAAAAACCAACCGAAAAACGAGTGTGTGTGCTTATTATTTTTTGTGTTTTGTGTTTAGTGATCAGTGATTGTCGCGCTTAAAGGACTATTCCTACTAAATCCTATGAAGATCATCGGCATGGTAAGTGTAGAACAGAATTACTAGTATTATTTCGTATGCTGGGGCCAAGACAGACATTTGCATCCAGATCCAGCACATCCAGTTTGCCAGGTTGCTCTTGGACTTGGCCTTCGCCTATTTTCACTCAGTGGGCCAACAGGTTTTCCTTTTGGCATGTGCCACATTCGCTGAAAGTAAAGTAAACCACTAAAAAAATAAATGAGAACGCAAGGAGTACGTACACTTGAAATCTAGAATATGTATTATTTTCCAAAGTGTTGACATATTGGAATTAAAATTGGTACCATCTCTTTGGGTAAAAATTTTACATTTTTCTTAATCGTTTTTTTGCTGTAACTTGGGCAAAAATGGTCCTAAATCAAAAAGGCGTATTGTTTTGAAGAGCTAACCACCTAAAAATTAATATCAGTGCATTTTTTGTTTGATTTAAAAAAAATAAATTTTTGACCCAATTTTTACTCTTTTGATAAGGGGTTATATCATAATTTTTTGCGAAAATTGCCAAAAATTAAAAATTTTCAGGTTTAAATGCAGATTGATTGGGAATTTTATTACGAGTTCAACGAGATATGGCATTCCATATTCGGATCATTATTTCCACTTTTATGACCAAAATACTATTTTTGGGTGGAAAATCAGGATTTTGATTTTTGGTGCAAATTTGACATTTTATTTAATCGTTTTTTTGCTGTAATTCGGGCAAAAATGGTCCTAAATAAAAAAGGCGTACTGTTTTGAGCAGCTAACAACCTTAACATTAATATCAGTGCACTTAGCGACTGATTTGGGAAAATTAATTTTTGACCAAATTATCGCTTTTTTTTAAGGGGTACCATCATAATTTTTTGCAAAAATGGCCAAAAATTAAAAATTTCCAGGTTTAAATGCAGATCGATTGGAAATTTTATTACGAGTTCAACGAGGTATGGCATTCCATATTCGGATCATTATTTCCTTTGCTTCGGTCAAAATACAGATTTTTATGGTAAAAAATTGAATTTGGTAAAATTCCGATTTTTTGTGTGTGATGGATGGAGAAATAGGCCTCGTGCGTCGTGTCAATCAAGCAACTGGGAATTCAAAGGCAAAATCCAAGTTGCTACCTTTCGGGCACTTGAACAAAATTCCACTAGCTCCGTTCGGAGATTGGATCCTTGGGGGGGTCATCAGTGATCGGTGATCATGTACCGGCGGAACCGCTCGAATGCCCAATCGCCGCTGCCCCATCGGCGTCGTCGCTTGAGGAGCGGACTGGAGCCGCCCGCCGGCGATCCCGACGACGACCGGATGTGCTGGATCTGCCTGACCGGCGACGAGGAGCAGCCCCGCCGGTCGGATTGGCTGCATCCCTGTCGCTGTCGCGGCACCAACAAGTGGGTGCACGAGTCCTGCCTGAGCCGCTGGATCGACGAGAAGCAGCTCCTGGCGCCGGATGTCCCGGTGACCTGCACCCAGTGCCGCACGGAGTACATCATAGTGATGCCGCCGCTGTGCCGCTTCGATGCTCTGCTGGAGCGCCTGGACAAAAGCTACGAGCGCCTGTGTCCCAGTGTCCTGATGGGCATCCTGGCGGCCACCGTCTACTTCTCGGCAGTGACCTATGGGGCACTCACCCTCCTGGAGTTGGCAGGCTATGAGACGGGCATGCGGCTGCTCCAGGAGGATCCCACCCTGCTGATGATCCTGCTGCCGTCGGTGCCGACGCTCCTGCTTCTGGGCAGGATGGTGCGCTGGGATGACGCCGTGATCCGCTGGCTGCGACGCCACCATCGCCTGGGTGTCCCCGCCGATCATCTGGACGCGTCGGGGGAACCACTGCCGGGGGCTCCTTTAGATGATGAGTACTTCGATCAGCTGGAGCGCGATCATCCGGACTCCGATGGTCAAGTGGGTGGTGCCTTCGGTTCGGAGCACCTGGGCCGCGCCTCCTCCAGCTTCTGCATCGCCCTCGGCCTGCCCACCGTCGCCGTCATCCTGGGCCAGTGCCTCTTTGCCAGGATTTGCGAGGAGAACAAGCTGCTGGGCATCCTCCTGGGCGGAGTGACCTTCGTGGCCGCCAAGGGACTGGCCAGTGTTTACCTGCGGCAGTCGCAGTATCAGCGGAAGCGCCACAGATTCGTGATGGACTACACGCCGGAGAATATGTCACACCGGAATCGGAATTAAAGCTGAAAGAATTGACTCATGATTGTTTATTATTTTCGTAATATTCGAATCAAATCTACTAATAAAAGCAGGTCAAGAAGAATTACAAATCATATAAAAAAGAAGTGAGAACGCTCTATTAGTTTACCGTTACTCACTACTGAAGAAAGTGCGAGGGAGATGGAGACAAGCAAGCATAAAAACGACTGCTTGCACTGCTTGCAAGCGAACAAACATTTATTTACTCATAACTTCTTAATTACTGGTCCAATTTCGAAAATCTAAAATTTGTTATATCATAAATTTGTATGACAACAAGTTACTACAATGAACTAGATCACCAACCTTTAAATAACTGAAAGCCAACTGAATTTAGCCAAATATTTATTTACAATTGGTGAGGAAAAACCGAAACATCAAGTAGCTCCAGTTCGCTGGGCTCTGAAGGAAGGACTTTGTATATACTCTCTATAGGGCGGCTAGAGCCCGCTTGAAGGCTCCCAGTTTGAGGCCCACACTCCTCGCCCAGCCCAACAGCCTGGCGCGGGATCTCTGGGCCAGCGAAGGACCAGTAATCTCCACCTCGATCCGTCTGCCCGGCCAGGCGAACATTACCTGGGCGGCCACCGACTCGTCGAAGAGGAGCAGATAGCTGGGCCTCAGGCCCACGGACTCTTGGACAAAGTACTCCAGGAAGTGCTTCTCCGGCGACTGGGCAATGGACTCGTCCAACTCCGCGGGCAGTTGGCAAATCACTAGAGCCCTTTGCGGCGCTGAGAGGATGGAGTTCCGCCAGCACAGTGGGTTTGGGGATGTCTTTTTCTCTTCCCCTGTTTCTGGCGAGGATTGGACTGGCTCGGCAAGCTCTTCGCAGTGAACCAAGGCCGTTTCCGGTTGGGCAAACAAGCGGATGGGCTCACCAGGCGGATGCTCCAGACAGCCGGTGGCCAGGAAGCGGTACAGATACTTGAAGGGCAGGCCCAGAAAGGCATAGCTGGGCTTTCTACTGGTCTGGTCATCCTGATCCTGATTCTGATCCTGATCCTGATCCCGATAGCTGATGCTCAGCAGGTGGCCGGGCTCCAGAGTGGGACGCGCCAGGCCCAAGACCCGGCAAAGTCTGCGCAAATGCAGTCCCGACATCCGACGCAGGATGGGCGAGGAGGGCGTGGCCACCAGGAGCCAGTGCAGCAGGTGCAGGGCCTCCACATCGTCTGCGTTGAGATCTTCGTACTGCTCGTCGGCACTGGGAGTGTCCAGCATGAGGCGACAGGAGGGCCAGTTGTCGGCGACGGAGCGACGCAGTCGATCCACCTGGCAGCCGGCACCGGGTTCCGCCTGGAATTGCGGCGGCACCGGGACGAGCGTCCTCTCGTGCTCCTGGCTGCTGGCCGCCGCCGTGAAGATCAGCAGGCGGATGTCACTGGCATGGGGCTGAGCTCGCAGAGCCTGACGCACCTCCTCCATTTGCCGCTGGAGGGGATTCAGCCACGAGGAGGCCGGCGGATGAACCTTTTCCCTGCTTTTTGGACAAAGGAAACCAAAGCTATTATTATCCTTCAGATGATTATGATCCTACTGTGCTTACTTGGAGACCAAGACGCTGTCCATGGGCTCTCCATCCGCTGTTTTGGTTCTAATTCTGGACTGGTTAACCGGTCGCTGGTTGAGGATCGGATTGAGGCTGGTGGGCACCATCGCCATCGGAACTGGCGTGTCCATCTCCGGCTGCGATTCTCACTTACTCCACAAACACCAAACGAATCCGAAAGCTCGCTTTAACTCCTCACAATTTTGACAAAGCGAATGTAGTTTCGAAAATTGGAAAACTCAACTGAGAGCTACTTCGATCAAATGTTGAGTGATCGAAATTTTGGGCCTATATTTGAACTAACAAAAAGTCTTTCAAAACCAAAAACTTTATATAAAAAAACAAAAATTATGAAAAAAAAATTTTTTTTGGGTAGGTTGAATCAAAACGGATAAAAACAGGAGACTCAAAACTTTCAAAGGCAAAAGCGTATCATAAAATATTATAATGAAACACTTCGGTTTTTTTTTTGAATTATCATTCAGATATTCATTAAGATATTTCAAAAATATAAACTAAACTAAATAAATAGCTCAATGTTCTACATTTTTAAAGCATTACTTTGCCATTTGCTAATCGGCAAAACTTTCTGTGACGTAACTATTTGCGAAATCAACAAAATAAAGTGCTTACGCAGAAAAATCGGAATGCATATGGACTTAGTATGCGTATAAACATAGTATTCAGATTATAACGTATTAAAACCCGAGTCTCTGGGCAAAAACGAAAGCGGCGATTACAAAGTGATGACATTGAAGCCAACTGACAGGAAGTATTTACGATTCTACGAGTTTACGAGTGGCTTTACAAGCTCCCAAACAGACGGGCCCCTCTGTTGTAAGCTGCAAAACAATCAATAGTAAATAATAATAAATAAAACAAATATTTACTTGTATTTATTTATTTATACTTTCGATTGCGTCAGGCTCGGATTTTGATTGTGATGCTCGATTTTTCTTGAACTGGACCTCCCAGTGCCCAACTACACATAAAGAAAAGAGGAGAAAGATAAATGGGATGATTTCTACATAAATCCCATGCAGTGGGAATTTTATAATAAAATATATATGTATTTTATTTTATAGTTTGAAAATGAGATTTCTAAACTATTTAAATTCCAGCTTAAACCTATCTTCTTATCATATTTTTTACTGGGAATTACATTCTAATCAGTTTAAGGGCTCATTATAAATACTTTTCTCGACCTATCATATATTTGTTAATGGGAATTAAATCCTAGTCATTGGAATAGCCCACAGTAAAGATGTTTTTCAAGTGCCCGAAAACATTTCGAATACTTTGGACTTGGACTTGATCCACTAATGCTCCTCCTACAACCAGACGACCCGGCCAGACCATGACGCATATGACCCAGAACGGCAAGTGGTAGGCAATTGAGAGGCCGGGTCATCTGGAGGGGCAACGGCTACGTCAATGCGACGATCACAGTCCAGACATACGTTTATACTAGGCGGACGGACGCTGATACCGCGATCGCGGTGCAAAGTACGACATTCCACGGCGGATTGCCGGATTATGGAGCCCAGATTTGCCAAGTGCGGGTACAAATACACATTTTTAGGGTTTTTTACACTTGTTTATTAACTTACTACTGGTCTTACTACAACTAATTATATAGGGTATCTACGGGGTCTACAGCTAGTTAAAAACTTGGTTTTCTGGCAGCCTATATTTGATCCGTGGGCCTAAACTAGATTGATTGACTACAACTAGTATATAGTATATATAGTATATCGTATCGACTACTACGCATTATAATAGCACTTGCGAGTCATATACATATGTTGGTATATAGCTTAATACATAGACGGGTGTCTCTTGCTATCTCTCCTCTAAGTACGGATGACGATGGTGTTTTGCCATGCTCTCCCATCGAGTTTCAAACTCAATTGCAGCACTCTGGGGCGGTTTGTTCGCTTCTTATACGGGCAGGCGACTTTGGGATACTCCAATCCTGCCGCTTGTTATGTGCCAACTGGAAATATTGCGCAGAAAAACGAGTTAGTTGTTGAATCGGTATAAATTTAAGGTATTTCTAATTTAATGCGATTTCTTGGGATATAAATATTTTGTTGAAACCGGAAAATCTTCGGTAATATCTCATCTAAAAAAACATTTTCTAATTTAATTAGACATACAAAAATGGTTATTATGGATATTTCAATTCCTAGTTTTACAATTTATAATTTTTTGAGATATTTTAGTTTTTTAAAAGATTTTGATTGGTTTATTTTTTTTTATATTGGTTTGAAAATATATTTCAAAATATTGAATATTTATATTTTACTATTATAATGGATATTTCAATTCCAAGTTGTACAAATTTTAATTTCTTGAGATATTTTAGTTTTTTAAAAGATTTTGATTGGTTTATTTTTTTTATATTAGTTTGAATATAGATTTCAAAATATTGAATATTTATAGTTTACTATTATAATGGATATTTACATTCCTAGTTTTATAATTTATAATTTTTTAAGATATTTTAGTTTTTCAAAAGATTTGCATTGGTTTATTTTTCTTATATTAGTTTGAAAATATATTTCAAAATATTGTAAAAAATTCTACAATTTTCGAAACTAATCTGCGACTCACCTGGGACTCTTAGAACCGCTTGTTGTTGCGCAGGAAGGCCTTTTGGCGCGTCTCCTCCTTGAGGCAGGGATCGGACTCCTTGCCGGAGCCGCCGCGCTGGACGCAGACGGTCTCCGCCTTGAGGCCGAAGCACTGCGTCTGGACGACATTGAAGAAGAGCTTGCCGATGGCGTTCGCATCCTCGTCGCCGGCCATCTTCAGGCAGGTGCGGAAACGGAGGTCACAGCTGCAGTGGGACAGCGTGTAGGGGCGGTAGTTGAAGAGGTCGTAGCGATTCGACATCCCGTCGATCCACATCTTGCAGTGGTCGTGCTTCCGGCAGCACTTGTCCGCCTTGGAGGCGCCGCCCAGGTCGTTGTAGGTGCCGTTGGCCAGGTTGCCGCGTCCGCACCACCGCGTGTTGGGGGCGATTAGCCAATCGGAGAGCTGCCGCCGCTCGCGACGACGCACTGCAGCCGCAGCGTCGCCAGTTGGGTGACTATGTGCGTGGATCTGGGATGGGGCTTCCGTTTCGGGGTCGTGCGATCTGGCGGCCAAGTGCTTGGCATCCGTCCCGGGAACCGCGCACAGCTGCCAGGTCGCCAAAATCGCCAGAGGCATCAGAACGCAGATAGTGCTGCCGCTGCTTTCGTTCGGGATCCACATCGTGTTGGGGTGTAGCAGTGTAGGAGTCTATCTTTTAGCGCCCGGTGTTCGGTGACTGATTGCTCTCCAAGCTGAAAACCACTGCCGTTTTATATGCTCGCGCACCGCCGCCAAATCGAAACGGGGGCGTTCACACCAGGGCGCATTTCGCGGTAGGATGCAGAATGTCGATAGGGGTTACTTCAAAAACTACAAAAGCGTGGGTTTTAAAATCATTTCTATGTATTTCTATCCATTTACTTAATGATCGCAATAGATAATTACTTTCCCTTTTGAGTATTAGCTTACATCCCTTTATTGGTCGGTTTTTTTTTATTATTTTATAATTTGTAGCCCTTTAAATAGTCCGTTTTATAAACTTTCAAATATCGTATAAATTGAATTTAAATTATATAAAAATTATTTGTATTTTTCATTATAAACTATTCTATGCAGAATGTCGATAGGTGTTACTTCAAAAGCTACAAAAGCAGTGGTTTTGAAAAAGTTTTTTCAATTTTACCCGATTTCTACTTAACAATCGCAATAGACAATTTAGTTTGGCTTTCAAATACATACATTGGCTGTTTGGTTAAAGTTTAAGCGCTTTGAATAACCTGTTTTTTAAACTTGTAAAGATCGTATAAATTGAATTTAAAAATTACTTTTATTTTCTATGAAAAACTTTTCTCTGGAAATCACAAAAAAAGATATTAAATTCGAAAAAAAACTGTAATACCTTCTTATAGCTATTAGTTTTAATTTTAAATAGTTTTAAACTTTCTGCCTATCGAAAGTGACGCCGGCGCAGTGTGAACATGTGTGTGCTCGCCTCTTTTCACGCCCAGCCAGTGTTGCACAACCTTCGACGCATACACAGCTGTTCCGAGGAGTCATGAGCGAAAATTACCTCTTAAAATTGAATTAGTTGATTTAAAGCGACAGCCAGCCGGCGGCCAGCGAGGCAGCAACGATGCAGCGAGTCCAGGCGGACCAGAAGCCAGCCAGGATGCCCCAGCATCCGCAGGGGCACCACCATTCCCACTCGGAGGAGCGGGAGCACAACAGCAATGAGACGACGACCACATCAAATGCTAGGATTGCGGCCAGCAGCAGTGCCACGCCCACAGCGGCGGCGGGGGCAGCGGGCGGAGGAGGAGGAGCACCCAGTGGAGCACCCACTCCGCCCAAGAGTCTGGCCCTCAACCAGAACCACCAGCATCATCATCACTACGGATCGGATACATCCGGAGATCAGGAGGAGGAGCTGCTGGACTCTCGCTACGAGTGCGCCATCTGCATCGACTGGCTGAACGAGCCGGTGCTGACCTCCTGCGGCCACCGCTTCTGCCGCAGCTGCCTGGCCGCCTGGATGCAGAAGAACAACCAGTGCTGTCCGATGGACAACAAGCGTCTGTCCGCCGAGCACGACATCTTCCCGGACAACTATACGCGCCGGGAGATCGAGCAGCTGAAGCGCGACTGCCCCAACTCCTCGCTGGGCTGCTCGGTGGTGGCCTCGCCCATCGAGCTGCACCGCCACCTGCCCAGCTGTCCCTTCCGCCGGCAGCAGGAGCCGCAGGAGGAGAAGTGCCCGTTTGCCAAGATCAAGTGCGATTTTGTCGGCCGACCCGAGACGAATCAGCTGGAGGAGCACCTCAAGGCGGACATGCCGCACCACATGCAGCTGATGCTGCAGGCCTTCCAGCAGACGGCCATTGCCACCTGGCAGCCGCACAAGCCAAGTAGCAGCAGTGGAGGAGGAGGATCAGTGGAGAACGGCCATGGGCTGCCGCCACCTCCTCAATACGCCAACGGAGTGGATGAGCAGATCGTGCAGACCATGTACCAGCGGATTGTGGTGCTGGAGCAGCGGACGCGCGAGCAGGAGACGCGACTGGAGAATCTGCAGAAGCAGTTGCGGTTGGCACGCCAACAGGCGCCCGTGGATCCGCGCTACAGCAACGGAACGATTGTGTGGCGCATCGAGCAGCTGGGCGCTTTGGTGGCCCGCCTGCGGGCGAATGCCAACAATCAGGTTTACTCGCACGAGTGCTACACCTCGCCGCATGGCTACAAGTTCTGTGCGCGGCTAAATATTCAGCCGCGGAAGCCGCATGTGCTCAGCCTGCATGTGCATCTGATGCAGTCGGAGAACGACTATCATCTGGACTGGCCCTTCAAGGGACGCATCAAGCTGTGCATGGTCCATCCGGCGGATGTGACGCTCTCGCAGCACGATACGATTATGACCAAGCCCGAGATACTGGCCTTCCATCAGCCGCGCGAGGCGATCAGCACGCGGGGATTCGGCTTCCTCGAGTACGCCAACATATCGAACATCATTCAGCTGGGCTTCTGCGCCGATGACCGGCTGCTCATCAAGATCGAGATCAATATTGTGTGAAATGTTGCAGGAAATGGAGTCTTCCGATTAGGTTGCGTTTGTAACAAGGTGGATCGAATTGTAGGGCGAGTAGGAAAGCCAGGAATTAGTCGGAGTAAATTAGCATATTTATCTTTGTCATATTTTAATTTCACTGAAAGATAATCTCTGTAAAGAGCAGTAGAGAATGCCTGACCTATCAGCTAAATAACCTAGAATTACTCGATCCACTTTAGTGAACGTAAATATGCAATAACCAATAGCCGACGCGTATATATTTTATATAGACCTATATATAGTATACTATAGTCACCGTCTAGCAGGCATCACAGAAAGCAATTCCGTTGATATTCCTTTCCATTAACTAATCGATATTATCTATGCTAGAACTATTTCGTATTCTCGTTTATAACTCGTTTTAGCAATCGAAGGGCATTGGAAAAACTAGATCTATAATTAGAAATTTCATTTGAACCTGGATTTCCCCGTGATCCCTTAATTAATCTTTAGTTTCCAAAACATTCTCGTCAATCTGATTGAATTTAACTATTAACCGAGTACGTCCATTTTTTTAAACTAGTTTACTTGATAATCCATTTAGAATTATGCTAGGTTTTAATGCTTTAGTTTATCGTTTCGAAAATAAACTAAAAATGAGCGCTTAGAATTTAAAATACGTACCTTTTTTAAGCAACGAAGGAGCCAGAAAATATATTTTAAAAGGCTGTATGTATTATTTTACCCGCATATTTAACTTAGACCATAACATTACGCACTATGTTTAGAGCTAAGAATCGCGGCTGGCATAGATTAGAGCCCAGTTTGGTCTGGATGAGGAGGGAAAGCCAATAAAGGACACTTTTGTACCGCCAATCTGTGCCATCTTTACTTTCTAAATGACTCTTGGTTCTCTGGATCTTAACATTTTTTATTGAGTGAGTTTTATTGTGAAAATGAAAACCTTTCTTGTGCCTAGCTAGATCTTAACCTAATCCTAACTCAGTTGGCCAGTCGCCAGGTGGCCGTGGCGCCCTCGGTTTGCGTGACCAGCTGCTCCTGCACATTCAGATCGATGGCCATGGTGATGGTGGTGTTCGGCGCCGTCCGGTCCTCCAACACCTCGATGGTGACCGCCTGCGGCAGAGGCTGAACGGCGGGCTTAACCCGCCCGGGATCGTGGCTGCGCATGTGGGCATTCAGACCGCCGGACTGGGCAAAGGTCTTGCCGCACAGCCGGCAGGCGTATTTGCGCCGATCCGCGTGGAGCAGCTTGTGCACGCGCAGCGCCTTCTTCCGCTGGAACGTCGAGCCGCAGATGTCGCAGGCAAAGGGTCGCTCGCTGGTGTGCGAAACGGCATGGACATTGAGGTCGTGGATGCTGTAGAAGCACTTGCCGCAAACCTCGCACTTGGCAGGCCGCTCGCCCGTATGGCGACGCATGTGGGCCGTTAGGACGCCCCGATCCCGGCATGGGCGACCGCACACCTCGCACATGCAGGGCATGCGACCCGTGTGACAGATGCTGTGCGAGGCCAGCTCCTTTTGCGTGTAGAAGGTGGAGTCGCAGTCGGGGCACTTGTGCGGCTTGATGCCCGTGTGGCGCAGGCGGTGGGTCATCATGTTGCCCGTTTGGGTGAACGGCTTGCCGCAGATGTCGCAGAAGATGCCGGTGTGCTTCCAGCGATGGCCGCGCAGATCGCGGGCCGTGCGAAACGTTTGATTGCAGTCCGGCTCGTTGCATTTGTACTCCGGCTGCGGTCCCTTCTTCTTTTTCTTAGTCGAGGTGGCGGCTCCTCCCAGGCCGTGCTTCATCCGGCGATGGGTGTCCAGGCTGCGCTTGATGTTGTACGCCCGGTTGCACTGGTCGCACTTGAACAGCATCTCCTTGGGCTCCGTGTACTCATCGTCGTCATCTGATTTCAGGTCCTCTTGCTCCTCTTCGTGGTCCTCGGCCGCCCAGTCGGCGTCCATGTCCAGGGAATCCTCCTGCGTGGCCACCAGGGTGTTCTTCATGGCCGCCGCCCGCTGGAGGCGCTGGCGAGGAGCCTCCTCTGGATCTGGCTGATCCTGGACGTCCTCCTGCTCCTTTTCTTCCTCTATAAACTCCTCCTCCTCCTGGAAGGAGGATCCAATGGGATCGCTCTCCTGCTTGACGGATGGCTCGTGGCTGCCGCCGCAGTGCCCGTCCAGGTGCCTCATCCGGAAGTGTTCCGGAAAATTGGCCAGGGAGAAGCGCTGGAAGCACAGACCGCAGCAAATGTCCCAGGAGGCGGGCGCACTGAAGTGCACCTCGCCGCAGCGGACGTTGTGGTAGCCACCGGGCACATCCGGCCGTGGCAGCAGCTTGATCATCCTGGATCGTGGATCGTGGCGGATTTCTGGATTTCTCCCGGCGTTTAAGTTAAAGTTTAAGTGTTCCTACCATCGAATTGGCGTCGTTTTTTTTTTAATTCGTGTTGTGTTGTTAAACAGCTGACGGCCAGTGTTGGCTAACTACTTGTGGTATCGAGCTTCCTGGCTAAGGGGCGCCATTTTTGAACTGGCAGCCAAACCGATAAGCTGGGATTAGTAATTAAAATCTTCTTTATTTATATAAAGCTTACTTACAGGGTAAAACATGAGCCTGCTGGAAAGGTACTTCAGAGCACTAGCAACTAAGGCTTTTGGATCGACCGTTTTCTTAAATGGTAAATGGTAAAATATAGTACAAATTAGTTTTAAAAAACATTTTTGGCGTTCTTTCTCTAGCTTAGATCAAATTATGTAGTTTAAGATGTTATAAAAACCTTCTAAAATCAAACCGATAAGAAGGGCTTAGTTATTTAATATGAAATACTTATTTCTTATGGGAGAAACATTGAAAAAAACCCCTCCTTTTGTAAGAATTAAACATTTAAAACGTTTAATAAATATATTTTGGAGCTCTTTCCCTTGCTTAGATTAAGTTATGCATGTTAAAATGTTTTAATAACCTTCTCAACTTGAGCTGTTTTAAGGTTTCACATTTAAGAAAGTCCAGGAATTCATAAAAAAGTTAAATTTTATAAGCTCCGCTCTTAGTTCAGAAATGTAGCTCAATTAACGGTACATTTTGTCGCCGAACAACGGTAAAAAGCTATCGATAACCGACCGCGCCTATCGACCACCGTTGTGTATTCGTATTTTGTTGGATTCGAGTATACACTTTTTTTCGACCTCCTGTCCATTGATTTTTCGCTGTCCAGTCGGGGAAGTTAGGAAATCCTCGATCCAGTAGCACCACCATGTCGGAGGCGGCGGTGCCAGCGAGCAATGCGAACGCGAATGCCAGCGAGAAGATGGCCAGCTTGGTGCGGGAGGCGGAAAATTTAAAGACGAAACTCGAGGAGGAGCGCCAGAAGCTGAACGACGTCAATCTGTCAAATATCGCGGAGCGCCTCGAGCAGATCGCCTACGTGAACATCAAGCCGCGCAAGGTGCTCAAGGGCCACCAGGCGAAGGTGCTGTGCACCGACTGGAGTCCCGACAAGCGGCACATCATCTCCTCCTCGCAGGACGGCCGCCTGATCATCTGGGATGCGTTCACCACGAACAAGGAGCACGCCGTCACCATGCCCACCACCTGGATCATGGCCTGTGCCTACGCCCCCTCGGGCAACTTTGTAGCCTGCGGCGGACTGGACAACAAGGTCACCGTTTATCCCATCACCTCGGATGAGGAAATGGCCGCCAAGAAGCGCACAGTGGGCACCCACACCAGCTACATGTCGTGCTGCATTTACCCGAATTCCGATCAGCAGATTCTCACCGGCAGCGGTGATTCCACCTGCGCCCTGTGGGACGTGGAGTCGGGCCAGCTGCTCCAGAGTTTCCACGGCCATTCGGGCGATGTGATGGCCATCGATCTGGCCCCCAATGAGACGGGCAACACCTTCGTCTCCGGCAGCTGCGATCGCATGGCCTTCATCTGGGACATGCGCTCCGGCCATGTCGTTCAGTCCTTCGAGGGCCACCAGTCGGATGTGAATAGCGTGAAGTTCCATCCGTGCGGCGATGCCATAGCCACCGGTTCGGACGACAGCAGCTGCCGGCTGTACGATATGCGGGCGGATCGCGAGGTGGCCGTCTTCGCCAAGGAGAGCATCATCTTCGGCGTCAACTCGGTGGACTTTTCGGTCAGCGGCAGGCTGCTCTTTGCGGGCTACAACGATTACACTGTCAATCTGTGGGACACGTTGAAATCGGAGCGGGTCTGCCTGCTGTACGGGCACGAGAACAAGGTGTCCTGCGTCCAGGTCTCGCCCGATGGCACCGCCCTGTCCACCGGCAGCTGGGACTACACCATCCGGGTGTGGGCTTAAGTCCTCGTAAGCCGGAAAGCCCATTGTTTGGGGGCATTTGTCCAGGACAGATGCCGCCTCGCTTTGTTTCTAGTCCCTCGGTTCCATCTAGTCTCTACTTCGTTTTCGTTGTGCATCTCTAGGATAGTCAATCTATATAATGAACTCAAATATATATATATATATGTATCTCTTTGCGTGTAACCATTATGCGACTAGTTGTAAGTTCCTGTTCGAAATAAATGTTGAGCGATAGACAAGCGGGTGTTTTTTATAACATTTTATTGTACTTGATGTTGTGCGAAAGGTTTTCTTTAAACTATGCCTAAAACTAGCTTAATATGGAACAGATGTAACAGTATTTACACATTTTCTCTACTGATATGTACTAATACTTTAAAAACATGGTTATTCTAGAGGGCAGCTAATAATACCTTCAAATTACATTTCATAAAGTATTGGCTTGTTTAGAACTATGGCAGATACACGAAAAATGGAGACTTAAACTAAAACAAGATTCTGATATGAAATAGGGTTATTTCTACCTTATTTCATATCAAAAAAAAAAGCCGATATGATTTATGTCAATTTTAAGATTCAAACATATCAACATGATATTTAATCATGTCATAAAAAATACCAAATTAAGTATTTTTTGAACAACATATTCTTAATGCATATCAAAATGATATGAATAACTTGATCTTAAAAAATATTAATGGTCATCATTACCATTTTTTTTCTGTGTATGCAAACAGTGGGCGTTGTTTGTGATGTATGTAAATAATCTTTACATAATCTTTATGCATATCAAAATGATATGAATAACTTCATCTTTAAAAAAAATCTAATGGTTATGACCATTACCATTTTTTTCTGTTTATGCAAACCTTTAAATCTAAAACAGTGGACGTGGTTTGTGATGTATCCTAATATAAAGAGGTGCAAATGCAGACGGAGATCTGCGCAATCAGGTCAGTAGGTGAAGAGCATCTCAATAGATCCAGTTGCCGCCTCCACGCCCTCCGCTGCACTGGAGGTCGCCTGGAGCTTGTGGGCCCGCATGTGAGCGGATAGGCCCGCCGCCTGGGCGTAGGCATTTCCGCAGATCTTGCACTTGAACTTCTTGATGCCCAAATGCAGATGCTTGTGGTGGTACAGCGCCTTGGGCCGCGAGAAGGCCGCGTCGCACTTGTCGCACTTGAAGGGCTTCTCGGTGGAGTGCATCGCCTGGTGTTCGTTGAGCAGCGACTTGGAGGCGAAGCGGCGGGCGCAGGTCTGGCACTGGAAGGGTTTCTCGCCCGTATGCGTGCGCCGGTGGACGATCAAGGCCTCGCGGTAGCGCGATCTATAGCCGCACAGCTCGCACACGTAGTTCCGCTCCTCGCTGTGCACCCGCCGATGCGAGGTGAGGTTGTGCTGGTTGACGAACGACTTGCCGCAGTTGGCGTGCTCGCACTTGAAGGTCCTGGCGCCCGAGTGACCCTGCACATGGCGGAGCAGGGAGCGCGAGCTCTTGAACACCTTCGCGCACAGCTGGCAGGCGAACTCGGTGTGCTCCTTGCGGCGATGCTGGGCCAACGCGCGGTCCACATCGAAGGTGGCCTCGCAGTCGTCGCACTTAAAAGCCTGCGGATGCGGGTGGCTCATCTTGAGGTGCGTGTTCAGGTACTTCTGGGTGGTGTACTTGCGATCGCAGTGCGGGCAATTGAAGTCCTTCGGCTGGCGCTGCTTCTGGAGGGGGGAAATATATAGATATTAGCGAGGGAAGGTGAAATAATAGAAGGAGTACCTTGAAAACAGACTGCTGCTCCTCCTCCTCATCCTGTTTACCTTCCTGAGGAGTTTTTCCGCCCGTTGGCGCCTCCAGTTCGCCGTTTTCGTTGTCGGAGCAATCGGAGGAGCAGCTGCCACGTTCTGGCTGCCACAGCGTATCCATGGTCTCCTCGCCCTCGCTCTGCTTAGCCTCCAGCACCATGATGCGCAGTGGATTGCCCTCCTCCTGGTCCAGTTCCTGTTCCTCCGCCTCCTCCAGGTGCTCCTCCTTGAGACTGCTCGTTGGGAGCTGCTGCTGTCCCAGTCCCGTGACCGTTTGGGTCAGCGGCCGACCCTCCCGATCGAAATGCACATTGCGGATGTGGCGGGCAAAGTCCTGGAAGCCAAAGTGCTTCATCTCGCAGAGCAGGCAGACCAGTTGGAAGCTATTCGCCTCCTGTTCGTAGAAGATCTCGCCGCACTTGGGCCGCAGCTGCTGCTGGGCGTGCAGGCGGACGTAGTCCACGTTGGCCAGGCAGTGTCTCAGCATTCTAGGTGCCGGCTGCTCTTTAGTTCATCCCAAAAATGCAATAATTTACTAACAAAATCAAAATAAAATATGTAAACAAATGGTTTCGATTGACTTCGATAGGCATTTAGCGCGGTCGCGAACCCTTAGCAAGGCCACGAACCAAGGATGGCTTTTAACTGGCAGTTAAAGTTTACAGTTAACCGTTATTTAAATTGGTACATAAAAATAAAGTAGGAGTGTTACTTTTTCAAATTTAATGAAAAGAGATAAACTTCACTTTGGGCTGTTGGTATCTTGAGAAATATGTAAACAAATGGTTTCGATTGACTTCGATAGGCGCGGTAACGAACCCTTAGCAAGGCCTCAAACCAGGGATGGCTTTTAACTGGCAGTTAAAGTTTACAGTTAATCGTTATTTAAATTGGTCCATTAGAATAAAGAAGGAGTGTTACTTTTTCGAATTTAATGAAAAGAGATAAACTTCGCTTTGGGCTGTTGGTATCTTGAGAAATATGTAAACAAATGTTCGATTGACTTCGATAGGCGCGGTAACGAACCCTTAGCAAGGCCTCAAACCAGGGATGGCCTTTAACTGGCAGTTAAAGTTTACAGTTAACCGTTATTTAAATTGGCCCGTTAGAATAAAGAAGGAGTGTTATTTTTTCGAATTTAATGAAAAGAGATAAACTTTACTTTGTATCTTGAATAACCTGCGCATCCTGCACATCCTGCTGATCCTCGAGGTTCTTGAGTTCCCGTGTGGCCCGCTGATTCCTCTGGCGGTGCATCCGCTTGTGTTGCGCGTAACCCGCCGCCTGGGCAAACGATTTGTCACACTGCGAGCACCTGAATCGCTTGAGATCCTCGTGGAGCGGCCTATGATGGTAGAGGGCCCGGGAACTGGAGAAGCCCACATTGCAATCGGTGCAGATGTGCCGAAGGCGCCGTTGTCCGGCGTCCAAGTGCCGCTCCAGGTGGTTCTTCAGCTGATAACTGGCCGGAAAACGAGCGTGGCAGGTGTCGCAGCTGAAGGGCTTCTCGCCGGTGTGACGCCGCCGATGGATTTGCAGATTCCAAGGGATTCCCGTGCGATAGCCGCAGAACTCGCACATCAGTCGCCCGTCATCCAACTGCGGAGTTGGACGTTCCGCCGACATGGTCGCCCAGCGAGTGCCAAATCTAAACGCCGGCACTATTGTTAGATGCACCGATTTACAACCTACCACTTGGCATTTGGCCGTCGCAGCAGTTGGGCCGATTAATTGCTGTCAAATCGGGTTGGCTAATTTAAGAACGGGCTCTTTTGTGAATCAGATTCTGTTATATTTTTCCATACAAAAGGTTATCTCCATATTCGAATACAGGACTCCATCGAAATTCACTTGGTTCTTGCACACAAAAAAAATTTGATTGGTAAAATTTAGTTAAGTAACTATTAAAAATAGTTACGTGTATTTTGTTTCGCGCTTTGGGTGTGTGTCCTTGTTAACTGAAAGTAACTAGTTAGTTAGTTGAACTGACAATTTTTGTGGTTAATTTTACCAAGTGTTTTGTTTTGTGTGTGGAAGCATTTCGTTATGGGCTTAAAATATACATATATATTTTGTAACTTTAACAAAGTTTAGTTTAGTCTACAGGAAATAATTTTTTAGTTTCTAAAAATATTTACAAAGTGAATGCCTGGGTTTTACAACTTTCAGTTTATCTAATATTTACATAGTCAACTAAATTCGATGAAAGTCCGTGGAATGAAGACCGAAACTTAGAAAAGATAACCATTGGTGTCTCCTAAAGCCTATGCCTGAGTTCCTAAGCCTAAAACGTGGCGTGGATTGGAAGATACAAAAAGGTAGCCTAACCTATCTACGCTATCTATCCTAACCGTTGAGCTCGTCGTTCCGGTGCTTGCGCATATGGCCAGCGAGTCCCGCCGCCTGGGCGTAGGCATTCCCGCAGAGCTTGCACACAAACTGCTTGGTGTCCGCGTGCAGGAACTTGTGGTGATAGAGGCCCTTCTGCCGCGAGAAGGTCGCCCCGCAGACGCTGCACACATGCGGTCGCTCGGTGGAATGCATGGCCATGTGTTCCCTTAAACCCGAGTGCGATGGGAACCGCTTGTCGCACACCTGACACCCAAAGGGTCGCTCGCCCGTGTGACTCCTTATGTGAACGCGCAGCGTCTCCTTGTTCCGGCAGCTGTAGCCGCAGCTCTCGCAGACAAAGTTCTTCTGCTCCGTGTGCACCTTGCCGTGATTGCGCATGTGGCGCACGGTGAAGAAGCGCTTGCCGCAGCCGGGATGCGGGCAGGGCACGTTCCGTTCGCTGGTGTGCTTCAGCTGGTGGCGCTTCAGCTCGTGGCGCGTCTTGTAGCGTCGTCCGCAGACCACGCAGGCTGCTCCTCCGTGCGCCTGCACCATGTGCTCGTCCAGCAGGCGCAGACGCGGCAGCTGGGCCTCGCACTCCAGGCAGGTGAAGGTGGTGCTGCCATTCTCGTGATCCCGCTTCAAATGCTGCCTCAAGCTGTTCTTTCCCTGGTAGATCTTGCCGCAATGCTCGCACTTGTGCTCCTGGGCGGCGGCGGAAGAGGAGGGCAGCTCGTAGTCGCCATCCTCGCTGTCCGAGGCGGCGGCGGCGGCGAGCTCCTTGTGCTGGCGCATTATGTGCCGCTCGAGGACCTTGCGGCTCTGGTAGACCTTCGTGCAGTGCGGACAGGAGTGGGGCGTCTTCCGGCTCTCGCTATCCGGATCCGGTTTGATCATGGAGTGCGGCTCCTCCTGCTCGGAGTCCTCCTCCTTGTAGTCCACTTTTAGGGCTCTAACCTGGCGCAGGGATTCGCTGGTTTCCACCTGCCACTTGATGATGGTCGGCTGCTCCTCCGCCTCCTCCTCCTCCTCGTCTTCGTCATGCTGCTGCCCCAGGGAGCCCCGCTCATCCTCGTCCTCGCTTTCGCCGCCAATCTCGTACCAGGCAAAGGGATTCACCTGCGCCACAATGGGCACGGGCGAATTGGGTTCCCTATCCCTTTCCCTATCCCGCTCCTGCTTCAGATCCGCCGCCTCCGTCTTGAGCAGCCCGTTCTCAAAGTGGACATTCTGGACGTGGAGCAGGAAGTCGCCGAACACGAAGCTCTTCATCTCGCAGAAGACGCAGTCGATGCGGAAGCTGTGCAGGCTCTGGAAGTAGATCTCGCCGCACTTGGCGTTCGCCATGCCGGCGTACGTGTCCGGCTTGAGCGACTTGAGCATGGTGGCCCGTTGCTCGCCAGGATTCGCGATTCGCGTCCTTTTTTCGAATGCCTTCGTCCAATAAGAACGGCCAGCCAGCAGTGTTGAACAGCTGTTCTGGGCGCAGGTGTACTGCCTAGCGGGAAATGTGCTAGCTAAAAGTAGCTATATTTCAATTCTACCATTTTGTATAAATAATTTGGAGTTGTTTCACTAAATGCTTATTATTTATTTATTTATTTAAATAAAGCTAACTCACAGTGTAAAACTATGAGCTAACTGAGAATTTTAGAGCGCTAGCAACTAAGGCTTTCGGCTTGACAGTATATTTTATTGAGGGACAGTTTTCTTAAATGGTATGTGCTAAATTAGTTACTTATTAAATTGCTAAGATTTCAATATTCATCCCATTAATTTGATATTAAATGTAGCTTTTTAAAGCTTTTTGCCACCTTGGTTGGCCAACACTGGCTTCCTGCCAGCACTACCGATATCGATACACGATACCCGATACACCCCGATAGGTTGCGTTGTGGCAACACACGAGATTCAGATTCCGGAATTGAATTTACCATTTTGCCCGTGAATTAAACCCACAGCGATGCATCCCGATCTCACGGAGCGCATTCTCCAGCAGCTGGAGACCGCCGACAAGGTGGACACCCTGGACCTGGCCGCTCAGTTCGGCGAGGACCACCAGAAGATCGTGGGCGCCTTGAAGAGCATTCAGGCGCATGGCGATTTGGTCACCGCGGAAACGGCCACCCACAAGAGCCTGGGCCTCACGGACGAGGGTCGCGCCGTCGTGGAGCACGGCAGTCATGAGGCACTGGTCTACGCCGCCATTCCCGCGGAGGGCATAGCCCAGGCTGCCCTGATGGCCGCCGGCGGAGCAAACGCCAAGGTGGGCTTCAGCAAGGCCATGTCCCACGGCTGGATACTGGTGGACAAGAGCGTCAGTCCGCCGCTGGTGCGGCGCAAGGTGGATGCCATCACGGATGTGGTGCGCCAGCAGCTGCAGCAGGTGGCCGAGGGCAGGGGCGACCAGTTGCCCGCCAAGGAGGTGGGCGACTTCAAGAAGCGCAAGCTCCTCCAGGAGACGACCACCAAGAGTTTTGTCCTCTCACGCGGCCCCGAGTTCGCCACCACTCTGACCAAACTGGAGACCGATCTCACCGTGGAAATGCTCGCCAGCGGCCTGTGGGATCAGCTCAAGTTCAAGGCCTACAATTTCGATGCCTTGGGTGCGCCGCCAACGCGCGGACATCTGCATCCGCTGCTCAAGGTGCGCACCGAGTTCCGGCAGATATTCCTCGAGATGGGCTTCTCCGAGATGCCCACCAACAACTACGTGGAGTCGTCGTTCTGGAACTTCGATGCGCTCTATCAGCCGCAACAGCATCCCGCTCGCGATGCCCACGACACGTTCTTCGTCAATCATCCGGCCAGGAGCCACAAGTTCCCGCAGGACTATCTGGAGCGGGTGAAGAAGGTCCACTCGGTGGGCGGCTACGGGTCGAAGGGCTACGGCTACGACTGGAAGCTGGAGGAGGCGCAGAAGAATCTGCTGCGCACTCACACGACAGCCGTGAGCGCCAGGATGCTGTACAAGCTGGCCAACCAGGAGGGCGGCTTCAAGGCGGCCAAGTACTTTAGCATCGACAAGGTGTTCCGCAACGAAACGCTGGACGCCACCCATCTGGCGGAGTTCCATCAGGTGGAGGGTGTGATCGCTGACGTTGGCCTGACGCTGGGCGATCTCATTGGCACGCTGTACGAGTTCTTCCGCAAGCTGGGCATCACGCAGCTGGAGTTTAAGCCCGCCTACAATCCGTACACGGAGCCCAGCATGGAGATCTTCTGCTATCACCCCGGCCTGGCCCGGTGGATCGAGGTGGGCAACTCGGGCGTCTTCCGGCCGGAGATGCTGCTGCCCATGGGCCTGCCGGAGAACGTGAACGTCATCGCCTGGGGCCTGTCGCTGGAGCGGCCCACCATGATCAAGTACGGCATTAATAACATCCGGGATTTGGTCGGACCCAAGGTCGATCTGAAGATGGTGGAGGAGGGCCCAATCTGCCGGCTGGACCACGCTTAAAGCCGCCACAGCCCCAGGATCTGCGATCAAATTGCATTTTTTTCACAACACGAATGTTCCAAAAAATATTTATAAATACAATTTCCACCACAGAAGTTAAATTTGGATAATTAAGGAAATTAATGGATATAAAATGGGAGTTTTTGTTTTTTTTAGTTAAGAATATTGTCCAAGTGGGAAGCTTGAAAAATTTGAATTTAAATTTGGCGGGCTGCTCAGCTGGTGGCCAGTGTTGTCGAGTGCCCACAAATGTTCGTATGAATAAAAATAAGGACATTTTTTTTGATTTTTATAAAAAAAAATTAATTAAAAATCTTGTAGTGTGTTAAGAAATGTTTGGAAAGCGACATTTCAAAGAAAAGTGTTTATCTGATGTTTGACTAAAAAAATATATATTTTCTTTAGATTTTTATAAAATAACAAGTTAACTAGAAATCTTTTAATGAGTTAGGAAATGTTTGGAAAGCGAATCATATCATGTCAAAGTGTTCATCTGATGTTTGATTAAAAAAATTACAATTTTCTTTAGACTTGTATAAAAAGAATGAATTATAAATCTTTTAGTGAGTAAAGAAGTGTTTGGAAAATAAATCATAATCCAACTGATAAAATATGCAGGCTACTTGACAACCCTGCCCCCCCATACAACGTCACCTCACACACACACACACACACACACACGGCGCGCGAAGAAAACAATAACAAACGAGAAGGCTAAACAAAAAAGTGAAAATTCGTCATCAAAGGCTGGAATCTTGGCCCAAAACCCAAAGATGGCCAGCAATCCGACGCAGACCCTCCACCAGGCGATCCAGGCCAAGTTTGGCCTGCCCAACGCCAGCGAAGCCACCCAATTGAGCAGCACAGGCGGCACGCCCCCACAAACGACGCCCAGATTCGTAATTCCGCAGCTGAAAATTCCGCAACTGCAACTGCAAGCGGCATCGTCGGCGGAATCCCGTCAAGCGGCGGAGGCCCACAACCAGCTGCTGCTCAACGAGATCCAGCTGCGGCGACGCCAGCGATCGGAGAGCGAGAACAAGGGGGGCTTCGGGATTCCCCCGCTGGCAGCGGAGCCCCCGAATATCCCTAATATTCCGAATATTCCGCTTCTGGCGCGGCTGGATCAGCTGCAGCTGCGGGACGAGGGCGGCGATCCGCCGCTCATCGATCTCTCGTCCACCGTGATAGCCGGCAGCAAGGATGCGCCGCCCAAGGAGTCGGCCAGCAAGGCGCGTCAGCTAATTAGCAGCCGGGAAACCTTCGACATACCCTTCATTGCCTGCGATCGCGGAAATTCCAGGAGGACCACTCCCACCGGTGGCCTCCTGGCCCACAGGCGGCGTTCGGAGGAGGAGCCGGAGGAGGCGCCCGCCCGCACCGACTATCCGGAGCAGCCGGGACCCATTGGCCAAATGCTGGACGCTGTAGTGGGCTATCCGGAGCCGAGGAAGCCACGGCTGGAGTACGCCGTCACCCGGCTGGAGCGGCAGCATCTGAGGATGTGCCGGCGGGAGGAGTACGGCAGCCAGGTGAAGAGATTCCGCTTCGACACGCCCTCGCCCGATGAGCTCGTCAAGCAGGCGCTGCAGAAGTCCTGGCGCGTTTCGCGCACTTGACTTCAGTTGCAGTTGCAGTCGCATCCTTTAGTTGACAATTACCGAAAAGTAAAATCAAAACAATAAATCTACTAAGTTCAAAAGCATCGACTGGCTATATCCTTGCTTGTAGTGGGCATATTCCCGAAACTGATTGAGGTTTACCAAAGAAAAATTCATCTTTTTACCAAAAAAACGTATACGGATTTTTCCACGAAAAAAAAATTTGTTTTTTGACCGTAACAACGGAAATATTAATCCAAATATGGGTTGTCATACCTTTCTGAACTCGTTATTAAATTTGCAATCAATTGGCATTCAAACCTGTGCAAAAAATCTTGATGTACCCCCTTAAAAAAAATGGAAAATTGACGAATATTTTATTTTTCCAAAATCACACGGAAAGTCTTGGCATTCAAACCTGTGCAAAAAATCTTGATGTACCCCCTTAAAAAAAATGGAAAATTGACGAATATTTTATTTTTCCAAAATCACACGGAAAGTCTCATATTATTTTGTTATCTGTTCAAAACAGTATGTATTTTCGGTGTAAGACCATTTTTGGCCAAGTTACAGGTAAAATACAAAAAGAAAAAAGTCAAATTTTTACCGAAAAACCCAAATCCCAATTTTCCACATAAAAATAAGTTTTAAATTTGAATTATCCCAGCAACATCTGGGTTGCGTCCCGGCTACGTTAACGAAGACACGCTCCTGTCACGCTGGGATTTTCTGTATTCATATACTGAAAGTATACCAAATATACCATATGATTAATTGAATATTCATCGATAAAGTTATCGGGTTTCGCAGGGATTTTCGGTATCTATATACTGAAAGTATATCAGCAAAATCGCGAAACGCAAAATATTAAATTAGTTTATTGGAGCGCAATTCGGAGCAAAGGGAACTACGAAATTATAGCGAATAAAAACAAAAGCCCAAGAAACAAACAACAAGGCGGTGTTGGAGTTGATAAATTAATAATTAAGAAGTTCTCTGTTCTTGTTGTGCGCCCCTGTGTGTGTGTGTGTTTGTGTGCCTGACTTGCCTGTCGGTGTCCGGAGACTGTGCATTGGTGTGCGTGTGCGTATAGCTGTCACTTTCTGGCGCGCACACAAGATATATACACACAGAAATTCGAAAAAGCGGTGGCCACCACACGCCCCCTTTCCAGACCACCACCCCCCATCCCGTCGTCTGGATGTGTGCGCCCGGTTCCGGTGCCGTTTGGTTACCGTTACCGTTCCCGTGCCCGTGCATCTGGATCCGGAGGCCGTGTGCGTGCGAGTGAGAGGGCGCCACACGTTTAAGGAGCCGCCGCAGGAGCAAGAGCAGGACAACCGAGGAGCTCGAGTTGCCGGTACCGTTACAGGTAATATATATATATATAACAATGTGTGTATACACATGGATACAGACACAGATACAGAGATACATTCCAAACCAAATCGGCTGTGTGTGCAATTTTCGCTTTTCATGCACATTTTATTATTTATTATTATTATTATGCTTCAATCGAAACCCCTTCTGCCTGCGACGCTCGTGGCCTTTGTTATTTTCGGTAATTTATTGCCCCGCCTTCGATAAGATGGAAAATTCCAAACTGCCCACAGATTAGGCGTGTGTACATATATATTCTCGTTCTGTTTCTGTTTTCTGTTTTCTTTGGCTGCTGTAACTCAATTCAACTACATGAACAAAAAGCGTCTGCAAGCGCAGACATTTGACCTTGTTGGGGACAACAACAAAAAGCATAACAACAATAGCAACCCACGCAGACAGATTTGCAATTGGCGATTGGAAATCAAAATTGAATTCGATTCCTGAAGAAATGTGAATCTGAATCTGAGGCAAAATTGAATAGATTACGCACACACGCTCAGGCAATTATCACAAACATCGTCATCAGGGTCGGGCTTTTATCAGATCCAGCCGCTCACACACACACACACATCACATATACATGCAAGCCAATTATCAGGTTTTAATTGCCAAAGCACGCACAACTAAACTTATTCCACTATTCCAGATCAGAAATACACCAGCGGGAAGCAGGAGCAGCGTTCCAGTTACAGTTACAGTTCCAGTATTCCAGGCGATCAAGAGGAGTAGCAAAGCGGAGGAGAAAGAGGAGCAGAAACCCCTGAAGACCCTGAGATGTTGCCATTCACCCCGCAGGTGGTCAAGCGTTTGTTAGCACTCAAAAAGGGCAACGAGGACAACAGCGTCGAGGGCAAGTGGTCGGAGAAGGCGGTCAAGAATCTGGTCAAGAAGATCAAGAAGAACTCGCAGCTGGAGGAGCTCGAGCGGGCCATCTCCACGCAGAACTGCCAGACGAGGTGCGTGACGGTGCCGCGCAGCAAGCCAGCTCCCGCCGGCGAGCATCTGCGCAAGGGTCTGCCGCACGTCATCTACTGCCGTTTGTGGCGCTGGCCGGATCTCCAGTCGCAGAATGAACTGAAGCCCCTCGACCACTGCGAGTACGCCTTCCATCTGCGCAAGGAGGAGATCTGCATCAATCCCTATCACTACAAGAAGATCGAGTTGTCCATCCTGGTGCCCAAGTCGCTGCCCACTCCGCCCGACTCCATTGTCGACTATCCGCTGGACAACCACACGCACCAGATACCCAACAACACCGACTACAATGCGGCCATCATTCGCAGCGCCTCGTTGAGTCCGCCGCAGTACATGGAATTGGGCGGTACCGGCAGCGGTCCCGTTTCCGTATCCTCCTCGGCCAGCTCGACGCCCGCAACTGCCGCCTCCGCCTCGTCGTCCTCCTCCTCCTCGTCCGCCGCCTATCAACAGCAACAGCAGTCCTTTGGCCAAAACATGGACTCCCAGTCGAGTGTGCTCAGTGTGGGCAGCAGCATTCCCAACACCGGCACCCCGCCGCCCGGCTACATGAGCGAGGATGGCGACCCCATCGATCCCAACGACAACATGAACATGTCGCGCCTGACGCCCCCCGCCGATGCAGCCCCGGTGATGTACCACGAGCCGGCCTTCTGGTGCTCCATCTCCTACTACGAGCTGAATACGCGCGTCGGCGAGACCTTCCACGCCTCGCAGCCCTCGATCACGGTGGACGGCTTCACCGATCCCTCCAACTCGGAGCGCTTCTGCCTCGGCCTGCTCTCCAATGTGAATCGCAACGAGGTCGTCGAGCAGACGCGTCGCCACATCGGCAAGGGCGTACGGCTCTACTATATTGGCGGCGAGGTCTTTGCCGAATGCCTCAGCGACTCGTCCATCTTTGTCCAGAGCCCCAATTGCAATCAGCGGTACGGTTGGCATCCGGCCACCGTGTGCAAGATACCGCCTGGGTGCAATCTGAAGATCTTCAACAACCAGGAGTTCGCCGCCCTGCTGTCGCAGTCCGTGTCGCAGGGATTCGAGGCCGTCTACCAGCTGACGCGCATGTGCACCATCCGCATGTCGTTCGTCAAGGGCTGGGGCGCCGAGTATCGCCGCCAGACGGTCACCTCGACGCCCTGCTGGATCGAGCTGCACCTTAACGGGCCGCTCCAGTGGCTGGACCGCGTGCTCACGCAGATGGGATCGCCGCGGCTGCCGTGCAGTTCCATGTCGTAAGCGAAGGTTCCGGTTTTCAATTTCCCGGAGCTTAAAACCAGAGAACCTAGTAACACTGATGAACAGAAGAGGAATAGAATGGAGTATCCTCAAGAATTCGCGGTACCATTGGCCACATGAACAGTGAAATCCAAGAAACCAAAAAAACTAGATGTACATCGATGTTAAAGCTAATCAATGGTCAGTGTTGCTGGTTAGAAGCTCCACGGGGAAAGCAAAATGAGAATCGGAATGGGTTTCAGCGAGAAAACCAAGAACAATTCTGAGAGCACATATGAAATAAGTTCAGGCAAATTATATACGAGTACATACTGGAGCAAAATGAAAACAAATGGTAGATGCAAGTCAGATACAGATAAAGATACCGATAGAGATATATCTATATACAAAGAGCACACACTTACATGTGGGATATATATCTTTACAAGCATATATGAGAGAGAACATGTATTTGGCGTTAAAAGTTTAGGACTATATATTGTGTAGGTGGAAACGTACGTGGAGAATGGCAGTTTTCGATAAGGAGCAACAATTTTTTTAAAAAAGTTTTACATACAAAATAAAAGAGAGAAAATAACCAAACCGACCAGGAACACACAAGCCCCTTCCGAAAGAAGCCCCCAGAATCTGTGTGCGTAGAGTTGGTAGCGCTAGAAGCGAGCAAGTCAAAATTCTTTGAGAAAGAAGCAAAACAATTATATCGGTGATTTGGAACAAAAATGGATGAGCAAAACAGGAACTGGGATTTATCAAGCTTGAAGCTTACACACACAGACACACACACACACACTCTACCATACATTGCAAATGTACATAAGACCAAATATGATGAAATTATTCACGCAGGACCTCCACTTGATCGAGTATGGGATTACAAGTACATATATCTATGTATATCCGTTTGATGATGGTTGTTAAACGTTTCGATTTTCGCTTAGTACGTGTGTGTTACAAAAATTTGCCAACTCTTAAAATGCAGTCAGCTCTTGTTAGTTGTAATGTCCGTAAAATGCGATCATATATCCTATATGTAAAGCACTTGCCCAACAAAATTTTAATGCCGCAAACCAAGTCAGGCCCGTCTGAGGACCCGTTATGTTCAGAAATGCATTTATTGTGTACCAAACGAGAGAGAGATTCATATTTCTCATCGCCCCTCGGACTCGAACCGGTAGCTCAACCAATATGCAATATGGTTTGCCGGCGTTGACCGGATTTTGCTTGGCAAGTGCGCGTTTTTCTTGGGTCTAGATCTTAAGTCTATAAATGTAACGAAATTCGCTAGCTTATCTTAAAATCTAAAGAGCCTAAACCTGTTTAAGTTCGAGTTCTATTTGGTTTTACTTTTGCAGATTATTTTAATCCTCCTTTTTTTTTCGTCTTTCGCTGTTAAAACCAAAAATAACTGTACCGCCCAGTGTTGAAAAGAGCATAGTGCGCGACAGCCAGTGTTGGCTAGCGCACTTGCCCGCTGACCACGGCGTAGCTTTAATTTAAGTTTTGTCTATTGTTTCCCCCCCTTTGTTGCTTTTAAGTTTCGCACGTAGTAATCCTGATTGGCAATCAATCGAATAAACGACCGCGAACGAGATTTTGTTTTGTTAATTGGCTCTAAATACGGTTCTGAACCACCCCACTGGCTTTGAATTAAACAATTGTTTTTGTATTTCCGGCTAAACCCGCTAATAATGTAATGTAATCCTTAAGTTATGCCTAACGAAACAAAGCAAAGCAAAGAAGGCGAACATGCGCAGCAACAGTCAACAGTCCTGGGACTCCGATCGACAGGATCGTGATCACAACCGCAGACCAGCAACCCCCTACCCGTAACTTTATGAAGTATAAATACAAATATATACATATATATATATCTAATATGCAAGCATGCAGATAAAGACAAACAGAATTCGTATATACAAATAAACTCTTATATTGAATGGAAAGCGCATCTCAGATGTTGTGGATTGGATTTGAGCAAATAGGGGAAAGGCTTGCAGTTCTTAATCGGATATTATTATAAAATAATTTAATTATTTTGTAGTTTACTTTTTAATAAATGTTTATTTTACCTTAATGGCTAAATTATGTTAATTTCTCCTTAGTGATCCCTAGTGTTCTTGAAATCAATAGTTTAGCGCTCGTGCACCTTGAGGTGCTGTTTGTGATTGGACTTGCGCAGGAATCGCGCCGGACAGATGGGACAGGCGAAGGGACGCAGCTGGGAGTGGGCGATCTGGTGGTGCTTCAGCTCCGAGGCGCTGAAGAATCGCTTGCCGCACTGCGGCTGCGCACAGGCGAAGTCCCGCTGGTTGTAGTGCCGCTTCAGGTGGACGCTCAAATAGCATTGATCGGTGAGCACCCGGCTGCAAACTGGGCAGGTGAAACTCAGTGCGGAAGTCTCTCGCTCTTCCTGCTCCGTCTGCGCCGAGTGCCTTAGCTTCGTGTGGATGCGACGGGCGTGGATGGAGTGGAAGGAGAGACGACAGTCCTTGACCAGACAGGCATAAGGCTTCTCTCCCGTATGCAGCCGTCGATGGACAGCCAGGTAGTTGGCGTACCGGAATCCCTTCCCGCAAATATCGCACTTGTGCGGCCGCTCCGCCGTGTGGGTCACCGCATGGATGCGCAGCTTGTTCATCTGCCGGAAGGCCTTGCCGCACTCCTCGCACACATGCGGCTTCTCGTCCGTGTGGGTCATCTTGTGGATGCGCAGGTTGTAGGCCTCCGAGAAGCGTCTTTCGCAAACGTCGCAGGTGTGGTCCCTTCCAGCTCGTCGTGCCCGCTTGGGTTTGTGATTAACCAGTGTAGTCTGTTCCTAGGGGAATGGAAAATATTATATCATAATTTCTAAAAATTAATTTTCTTAAGAATTAAAATTTACCTGCTTTTGCTCAGAGATCCTGGGACTCACTAGTTCCAGCAGATCGAATTCCGAACCCGGATTGATATCTCCGGAGAGATCCTCCAGCTGAGCAAACAATTGCAAATCCTCTAGGCAAACGCCATAGTTACTCTGATCATCCAGTGAAAAACGGTCCAGTTCCGCGTCCATTAGGGATATAAGATCTTGATCTTTAGATCGCATGTCGGTGCTTCGCTTCCGTCCGGATTGCTGCTGGTTCGCCAACTGCCGTCAAAGACTTCCGCTGACAAACGGAGCCCACGGATTCCGAGCAAGCGTCGATAAGATTACGCCGTCTTTAATTATGTAGTATATTATTACAGGCTGTAGTTATTGGCCCTGGAGGGGAATCAAACAAAACAAGTTTCGCTAGTATTTTATTTTATCGAAATGTCGTCCATAAAGTTTCCCTATAAATGAATGATTAGCCCGTTCTGCACTTTAAACGCTGGCGGTGCGCACTTTGAGCCAATTGGACGATCCCCCAGCGGACTCCTATATACGTATGTTCCTACGGCTCAACTTTATCGGGTTGCCCTGATAAGACTCTGTGCCACAAAACAGCCCTAATCGTTTGATTTCTAACAGAGAAGTGGTAGAAAACTTAGATCGAAGGTGTTCCCCGTCGAGAGATCATCTATCGCCGCCCAGTTCCCATGGATTCAAAGTTCGAAATGAAATTAAAAGCAAATCAAACATTTGAGATCGCCAGTTTGGGGGACACTCTGTCATGGGAGGTATGGTGATCAATTTGTAGAGGGGGACGTATGATTTATTTAAGAAATAATAATAAATCTACAAAATCTATAGTTAAATCTTTAATTACAATGTAATCAAACCGCTTTGATATCGGTAATTAGATCATAAGACAGTCATAGTTTAGAGCGAGACAAAATACGATATGAACGTAGTCATTATTTTGTTCTAAACGTTAATTAAAATATTTATTTTTCTGTGGGCAACTCACATATAGTTTTTAATTTCATAAGATTCTGGCTGTATAAATATTTCTTCAAGTGGCGCCCGAACAGGGACCCACGTCTGTGGGCCGTTTCAATGGCAATGTCAAAGAGCAAGACTAGGCACGATTGTAATTTATCATGTTGGGAGGAAATTGAACAATAATTGATTGGGATTCTCAGACAGTGAACTTCTGTAGCAGATGGCGCAACTCCTCTTTCATTATCTTATTTTAGTCATTATTTTTTCCAAACCTTAATTAAAATATTTATTTGTCTGCAGGCAACTCACATATATTTTCTCTCACCAAGAATAGTTTTTAATTTCATAAGACTCTGGATTAAATATTTTTTCAAGTGGCGCCCGAACAGGGACCCAATGTCAAAGAGCAAGACTAGGCACAATTACAATTTATCATGTTTGGAGGGAGGAATTGAACAACAACTGATTGAGATTCTCAGACAGTGAACTTCTGCAGCAGATGGCGCAACTCCTCGTTCTGGCGGCGCAGAAAGACGACCTCCGCATCGTACTGCACGCGCATCTTGAGCACCTCGACATAGTGATTCAGGCCGTGCTCCAACGTCTTCCACAGCTTGCACTTGGAGGCCGGAAAGCAGGCCGAGAACTGGCGCCAAAAGTCACGGATCTGGGCATCCGAGATCTGGATGAGATTCACCGCATTGAGAATGCTGCCCGGCTCGTGTTCGTACATCTGCTTGTGCATCTTGGAGGTGAAGAGGTTCATGGCGTGCAGGCAGAGGGCCGGCTCCATGACCAGGTAGTGATTGTGGCACCTCTTGGCCGCCTCCTCGCCCTTCGCCAGGAAGGAGGTGTCGCCCTTGGTGTCGCGATGCTGCTCCTGATCCGTCACCGTCGACGTGGTCTGCAGCCTATTGGGCTTCTGGTCCTTCATGAACACCTCGGCGCACTTGCGCGGACTGAGGCCCTGCGGCTGGCAGTTCGGGCAGTAGGTGTACGGCATAAAGACCTTGGTCAGCTCCTTCACGTCCCGCAGATGGCGAATGCGCAGCGCCGCAAAGATGTTGTCGATGCGCACCAGGCACTTGTCCTCCTCGGAATACGGTTCGAGTATCTTGAGCAGCCGCTCCTCGATGAGGAAGCCGCCGCGATCGGAGAGCTTGCGGATGAGGTTGCGCATCAGGCGCAGCGACTCCGGAGGCAGCTCCTTGATATCCGGCCGCTGCTTGATGGCCGACTTGGGCAGCACCCGGTTCTTGGGCACCCGTCCGATGCGCATGTCGAACTTCTCGAGGATATTATTGCGCTTCTTCTTGGCCCTGTTGATGTTCGGTATCGGTGGCACTGGACTGGACCACGGCATGGCCAGCTGCTGCTCGTGGATGATGCGATCGATGTGGTAGACCCGATCGACCAGCAGATTCAGCTCCTTGTAGTTGATCTCCCAGATGCGGTCGAACTTCTCGCGGTTGTTCAGCCGCGCCTGGTGGGCCTTCGACTCCATGTCGTTGATGTTCGCGTGCAGCTTGTAGATGTCCGCCGAGAGGCGGGCTATGTTCCGTTTGCCCGTGTTGTACAGGTTCCTCAGGCCGCGCCGGGTGCGTCCGATGGCCTCGTGCAGGCGCGCCACCCGCCGCTTCTGCTGGTTGTTTATGATCACGTTCTCCTCGTTGCGCTTCTGCAGCACCTGATAGTTGTAGTCCAGCTTCTCGGAGTTCATCAGCACATTGTCGCGCGTGCGTCGCAGCTCGAGTTCCAGGCGCTCGCACTCCTTCTCCAGGCGGATGCGGGTGCTCTTGGTCAGCTCCTCCTGCGACTCGTTGATCTGCTGCGTTTGGCGGGCATAGAACTGCTCGCGCGTCCGCACCAAATTGGCCTTCTCGTCGAAATTGGCGTTCATGGCATCGAAGAAGGTGCGCCACTTCTCCACCGCACTGACGGCGAATAACTGGCGCTCCTCCTCGATGGTGTGCCGCAGCATCTGCAGGTGCTCCTTGTAGGCCTCCTTCAGCGTCTCCACCTGGTGATCGACGCGCTCCACGAGGCAGCAGAGATCCTGCGCCTGGCGCTCGCGATCGAACTCGTACTTGGTGTTCATGCGGTCCACCTCCTGCTGGCAGGCGGCTATCATCTCGTCCTTGCGCGACATGATCTCGGCAATGCGCTTCTTCTGCTCCTCGATTTGGTCCCACAGCAGCATCGGCTCGTTGGTCTCCTCCAGCTCCGTCCAGCGCGCCTTGATGTTCTCGAAGCGGGCCATTGTCTCGACGCTCTCGCGCTGCAGCTTCACCTGCACCTGGTTCTTCTGCGTGGCCTCGAAGAGGCGGCGATTAAGCTCCCTGCGCTCGTTGGCCACCCGCACATTGGTCACCAGTTCGTTGCCAAAGCGGACCAGCTCGTTCAGACGCTCGCTGGACAGCTCCAGCTGCTGGTCGATGGGCGACTTCTGGGCCTGACAGCGCTCGGCCACGCCCTTGGGCGCCTCGCGGAACTGCTGGCGCACCCGGTTGAGGATCGCCAGGCGGCGCTCGTCCAGCTTCTTCACCGACTTGTCGCAGTGCTCGTTGAAGATCAGCCCGTCGATGCGCTCGTTGAACGACTCCCAGCTGTCCACCGGTCCTCCCAGGTCGTGCTCCGCCGCCTCGCCCCCCGCCTCCTCCTCCTCCCCGACGCTGCCGTCGCTGAGCAGCTCCTGCTCCTGGTGCTCCTCCAGCTCGTCCTCGTTGTCGTCCATGGTGGCTCAAAATATATAGATTTCGTTGGGAATTGTAAGGGATTTGTGCGGGATTCTGTTGAAAGGCGAACTCTCCTCCGAATCAGGGGGGTTCGTTTGTTCGTGTGGGCCGAGCAGTTTGATCGAAGGATCCATGGTTCCCTTGGTTTCGTGGGCATTTCAAAGCCGCCTGCTATTCCGGAAAAAATTCAACAACTTTTGTTTATTTACTTTCTGTTGTCAGTGGTGACAAGGGCTGAATAGTGATGCGAAAATAGCTAAAAAAGATAAATAGCTAAATGTATATTTTCCTCTATTTGTGGTTAATAAAATAAAATTATATTGTGCTGTTTCATTGCTAAAAAAAATAGAAAGTTTAACTTAATTTTAAGTGAAAAATAATTTATATCTTAGGTAACGGTTTAACTTTAGTAATATTGAATATTTCCCTTTATTTTCGTTTATTAAAATACAATTTTATTGTTCTGTTGCATTGCCAAAAAAGTTACAAAGTTAACTTAATTTTAAGTGATAAATAATTTACATTTTATTGTGTTAAGGATATTTAGGATTTTGTAAGCATTAAACAGGGAGTTTCTTTTGTTTATAAACATTTTAGGGCTAGTATTTAACCTAAGAAAAAGTCGTTCAAAACCAAAAACTTCATATTAAAAAAAGTCAAGAGATTTTGTGTCATATAAAGATTTTCTGGTTTGGACGACCTTTTGTTAGGTTGAATACTAACCCTCAATGTTAAATATTTTTAATAAAATAAAAAACTAGTTGGCTTGAAAAAAGCTAAGCTCGCGCCAAACGATCGTTATCGCTATCGAGCGATAGGCACTGGAGCTACAGCTACTTCCCTCTCGCTTCCTCCTCCCGTAGAACCCATGCCGGTGACGTCACCAGTGCCAAACGAATGGAAAATTCCATTCGCCAAATAGCAATGACCCCTCAACCCGTTTCAAGATCCCAGACCCAAGCCAATATCTTTGACCCCGCTGCACTCGGCACTTTGAACTTGATAAGACCAATGAAATACAGCCCTGCGAATTCGGACACCCTGGGTTGCATTCGACCACCCAAAAAAGGGGAAACACATTTTCAAAAGCGTCCCTGCATTGTTTACATTTATGTATTTAGGTGCTATTTACAAATCTTGCGCAAGGGAGCGGCACTCAGTTGTCCTCAGTCTTCAGGGTGATCTCATAAATCAGCTCGTCGTTGTAGTCGTCCTGCCCACTGACATGGTGGCTCATCTGCTGCTGCTGCTGTTGGACAGCATTGAAGTACTGCTCCTCGGTGAGCAGCTCCCCCTCCTCCACATCCTCCTCCTCCTCCTCGTTGTCGACGGCATTCTCCACCAGCAGCCGCTGATCGTCGTAGTCCGATATCTGTACATACTGCGGCTCGTTCTCCTCCAGATAATGGCCATTCGCGGCCTCCGCCTGGCCCTCCTCCACCAGCAGGCCGTCGTCCTCGTCGAAGTCCTCCTCCAGCAGGCCCAGGCCATCGTCCTCGTCCTCCTCCTCCTCCTGCCCGTCCATCATCGAAACGGAGCCCGAATTGGAGCCATTCTGATGGGCATCCCCATCGCGGACATTCACGAATCGCCGCGTGTTGCTGCGGCACTGAATCGATCGCTTGTGGGCATCGAAGTAGTTGATGTCGGTGAACTCCTCCTGGCACAGGTGGCACACATAGGTGCCCTGGCTGAGGTGCATCTCCTTGCGGTGGCGGGCCATCTTGTGGGCATCGCGGCACTGGAGGCCGCAGAAGGGGCACTTGAGCATCCGCCGCTTGCCCATGTGCACGTTGCGGATGTGCTCCTGCAGCGAGAAGTTCTTGTAGTAGGCCTTCTGGCAGTACTGGCACTGGAACCGTCGCTTCTTCTCGTGCGTCGCCTCGCGGTGCCGCTTCAGCTGGGTGTTCTGGGCGAACGTCTTGCCGCACATCTCGCAAATGTGCTCCTTCTCCAAATGCCGCCGCTGGTTGTGGACGCGCAGGTCCTGCTTGGTGCTAAAGTACAGCGTGCACAGCTCGCAGACATACGGACGTATGCCCATGTGACGCCTCGCATGCCCTGCGAGGTATTTGCAGTCGCGATACGTTTCCGTGCAGTAGATGCAGGCATAGCGATTGGTGCCGGGCACCAAGTGGGTCTTCTGGTGCTTCGACAGCTTCGTCTTGTGCATCACGTCGGGGCAAATGCCACACTCCACCGGCAGCTTCTCGTCCAGCATGTCGCTGATCATCGAGAACTCCACAATCGGGGTGCTGTCCTCGTCAAAGTCCACAATGGTGGCTATCAGGTCGTCGAAGAGCAGGTAGCGGCGCGGTCCCTTGAACTCGTCCAGCATCTTTTCGCTGGGCTTCACGTCCTTCTCGTCGTCGTTGTTCTGGCCCGCAAAGCTGCGTATGGCGATCTGGAGGGCAGACGACGAGGATTTCACCTTGCCGGAGGGATTCGGGACTCTCTCCGGCGGCTGCTGCGGCGGTGGCGAAGGCGACGGCGGCAGGGAGGGCGACAAAGGCAGATCCTCCTCTTCTGGCTCCTCGGCAACCGGCGGCTGGTTGGCGTAGCTCAGCTCGTAGTCGCCCAGCTCCTGGTCCTCCTCCACCAGCTCCTCCATCTCGCTCAGCTGCAGCTCCGTGACCACATACTGCTCGCCCTGCTCCTCCAGCTGCGCGTCCTTCACCCGGGCGCCCACCAGGAGTCCCTGCAGCTCCTCGTCCACCAGCAGCTCGCCCTCCACGCCGTCCTCGTTGACGATGAGGAACTCCTCGTCGTACTCGTTGCCCAGCCCGTCCAGCACCACGTAGGTGGCGTCCTCGCTGGCGTCCACCAGGCCGACGGCTCCTCCGACGCCGCCGCCCCCGCCGCCGTTGTCCTCGTCCGAGTACTCGCTCTTCGCGGGCAGCACGAACTCGATTATGTCCGACATGTCCAGGTTCATCGCCAGGCGGTGGTTGCTCATCCTCGTCGCATCAACTGGGTAGTTACTTGCTTTGCATGAGAAACGCGCAACGGGATTGTCTTGCCGACAAAAAAATTCAACAAAAAAAGTACTAATGTTTTTTGAACTAGAGGTGGGAGATGTGGTCGATTTTCGATGTTTTTTTCAACAAAAACTAATGTTTTTCGATTGTTGTTCGATTATTCGATATGTTTTCCGCCTCTAGCGGGTGATTTAACATTGAGCGACAATTTAACAGCACTGTGCAGGGACTTGAGTGGAAATTGTACTGCAAAGTTAACAGTGCGCATGAACTGGAGTGAAAATTCAACAAAGTCTTGCTAGAGGTGTTCGATTTTTCGATGGTTAAACGATGTTTTGCGCACCTCTAGCGGTTGAATTAACAACATGAGGGTATTCCATTAAATTGTTAAATTGCTGAATTGTTAAAAATTCATCAAAAAATGTCAGCAATTAGGGGAACGACCCAAAATGGTTCCTGTTAAATTAGATTATAAAATGGATTTTAATTAAAAGGTGACAACTCAAGTGTCCAATTGAAAACTCTAGTTGAAATTCTAAAATTTCTGAGTTTTTTTTTGTACGAAACAGTTGATGGAATAACAACATTTTTTGCCATACGCATTTTGAATTTTTTTTTATTATTATCACCTCTTCTTATTTATTTTTATTTTATTTTTCTCTCTGAAATATCTATGAAAATTAAAAGAAGACTCGAATGAATAAAAATCTGGTATTTTATAGCTGAATTTTCAGTATTTTCCAACTATCGATAGCGTACTTTTGAATTGCTTTGCTGCGCGCCCAAATAAATCACGGCGCATGCGTGACGACGGTTACCGTCTTCTGCTTTTCCGCTCTGCCCCCTCCCTGTCCCGCCCCTTGTTGTTGTATTGTTTTGCGGTCTGCGCTCGCGACTAACTTGGCTAACTTCTGGATTCGGAATTGGCCCGGTGCATTGCATCTGCACACTCGGTGGCGCGCGCTTGTCTTCTTGAGTTGAGACTTCTTCAACGGGCGTTTCGCGAGCTTTGCTTCTTGTTTAAAATTCTTCTTTTTTTTTTTTACGGTGTTTACTGTTTTGCACTTGAGAGCGTGTGAAGTGCGCGCATGCGTAGTGGCCGATAATTAACCAATTTGAAAATTGCGGTTCTTCTGCTTTTTTTCGCAATTCAAATTGACCGCAAAATTGCGTAAGGAATTCGATTTTTTTTCTATGTGCGAGAATTTATGAAATAAATGGTGAAGAGAACGAGAAGTTACAAATAGATTTTAAAGAGGTGTGAATAAAGAATAAAGGAAGGATAAACTAAAATCGTTTTTCAAGGTAAGCTCAGTGTTAAAAAATTCGCAATAAATTGAAACAGAGAACAAGAAATTTTAAATATATTTCAAATAAATAGGATACTTTTTTAAGACATGAATAAAAAAAAAAGAAGGAAAATAGTTTGTTAAGGTAAACAGGATACAAATTTAAATCCAATGATAAAAAACAGCTAAGTAAAAAAAATATTTTAAAAATGTAAAAATAGGATAACATTTCCAAAAAAATAGACTATTTTTAATTTGTTTATTAAAAATCAATATTCTTGTAAGAATAACATAGTAAGAAAAACATTATAACTCTACGAATGAAATCAAAAAAGGACCTTAAACCAAATTAACTTTGAATAACTAAAAGGAAAGTCGCCCAGAGTGAAGGGCAGGTAATCTCACTGCCACTCCGAAAGGCTTATTTATATTTTCAGAGTCAAAGTTTTATTGTTAATTGGGCTGATTACAATGCCCACAAGAGTTAATAAGAGATGGGAATCACAAATACAAATAGACGGCACAATGAGCGAATAAGCAACGAGCGGGCAGCAACATCAAATAGGATTACGCAAAGTTGCAAACGCATTATGTTGATGTTGATTTAAGCTTTGGTGTTTGCCTTTATCGCATTTATTTATTTATTTGTCCGCCGTGCTGCAACATCTTCAGTAGTCAACTCCATAGCTTCGGCCCAATCAACAAATATGGGACAAACTTGACCCGCTTTTGGCTTTCGATTGGAATTGGGAATTGGCATCGTATCGCATTGAAGACAGGGAAGGGCTCCCAAATTGGCCCCTCGTTTATTTGGCAATTAAAAATTACATAAAGCGGCTGACATTTTCTCCTTTCCCTTTTCGTTGGCCAAAGAATAGATTATGGCCATCGATTAAAGTGATCTGTTTTTATATCTTCTTAATATTTTACGCCAGCTGGATTTTAGAAAGATTGTTTTGATATTAAATATTTTTAATTAATTAAAAAGGTATATTAATTTAATATTATAAATGGGTTTTCCTAGAGTTCCGGAAAGTTATTAGTTTTAAAGACCTCTAGTTTCTTCCAAAAATTTGAAAGTCAAGAAACAATACCCCCCTAAATACATAAAAGTATTCTATTGATTATATCCATTGATTTCAGACTTTTCTTGATATCTCCCCTTAATATTTTAAGAAGATTATTTAAGTTTTATAATAATTTACTTTTAATTATATGTTTATATGTTTATATGTTTATATATGTTTAGATTTCTGAAAATATATAAATATAGGAAAAGTTATTATTACAAATGGTTCTTCCTAGAGTTAACGAACTAATAACTTTTAAAGATTTGCAGTTTCTTGCTAAAACTTTAGAGTTAATAAACAATTAGACTATGCCCCCTAAATACTTGACCCAAAATCGTGGATGGGCAACTAATGCATTTCGCATTTCCATTTCGCAGACAAGATTCTCGAACTTGGACTCGGAGTAGGCCAATTAAGAGTTAGCCACGCGGCCACACGAACAGGTGTCGTCTGTTCCAGCAGCAACATCAACAGCAGCAACATCCAGTGACAGCAGCAACATCTTGCGACAGCAGCAACAAGTGGCATCATTTGCGGTTTTGATCGCCGGGGCGGTTGGTTTGCCGTTGCCAGCTGAAAACGGGAAATCGGAAACATGTTCTCCTCCAGCGCCGCCGCATCCTCATCCTCATCCTCCTTTTCGACTCGCCGTGGCTTCAATCTCGGCCAGCAGCTGCTGCCGGTGGCCATCGTTATCGGAGTGTTGCATCTGCCGCAGTTTGTGTGTCATGCTGGCTGGGCAACCAGAACGCCAGAGAATTCCATCAATGAGACGACCCCCTCCTCCGCCTCCCCCTCCACCATGCAAATCCAGACGCTGCAGGTGAACTGCAGCCGGGAGCTGCTCGAGATGCGGCTGGAGCTGAGCCGACCCTTCCGGGGACTGCTCTACGCCAAGGACTTTCCGCTGGAGTGCCGGGCGCGGGGTCAGGACTCCACGCGGCTCCATCTCCGCATCCCCACCTCGGGCTGCGGGGTGCGGGCGGAGCCCCTCGAGGACGGCAGCCTGGAGTACACTGTGCGGGTGATGCTCCAAAAGGAGCAGAAACTCCGCCAGAGCACCGACATCCTCAGCGCCGTGCGGTGCCAACTTCCGGCCAACGCCATGGGCATGGCACTTCCGGTTCTGCGACAGGACAAAGGACACGAGCGGTGAGTTGGAGGGATTTTTTAAAAGTTTACTTCGAGTAGTTATGTACATTTAAAATATTGCTTTTACTAATAACAACTAAGGGCCTTTTTCTCGTCCGCCTGTTAAATTAGAGGCAAGCTCTAAACTCTGATTTAAACCCTACTTAAAATTTAGCAAATTGTCTAGAAAAAGGCACTAAAACATATTAAATTTAAAACTTTTTATAACAAAGATTCTTTTCCAATCAATTTGATACATATAAATTTAAAACTAGAAAAGTTTCCCCAAGTCATTCTTCATATATTCCAAATTTTATATATTTTATACAAACAATGTTTAGATAGTGAACTCATATATTTTGATTAGCATTTCCTTAAATTCCGTTGTGTTGATTTTGATCTAAAGCTTTAAATAAACATAATTTTTCAAGTGTACAAGTTAAACAACTATTTGGAACAGGAATTTAAAATTGATGTTGAAAAAACATCTTTAACAAGTGTTTCTTAAATAAAACTACTGAAATACATACCTGAGATACGATATCAGTAGAAGATGTTATTTTTATTTTATTTATTTATACAAAAACTTAAAGCTAAAACTATAAGCTAACTGCTAAAAAGAGCATTGGTGACTAAGGTTAAAGATGATCTTAATTCAAAAAAAAAATTATATTAAAATATATGCATACTGGTACATTTTACCTCTTTCCTATACAGAATTTTTTGTAATATTTTAAATGTTATTTAAATTATACCAGGAATGCCAGGATGAGGGCCTTGGCAGCGGCTGCGGTTCCGGCCCTCTCAGTATCAGCAGCACCGACCACCACCACCCACCACCATCACATGGAGACGCCGCGGGTTAGGATCTGGCTGGAATTGGGCGGTCCCAACGGAACCGGGTCCGTGGAGGTGGGCGTGGCCACCACCCTCACCGTGCGGGCCATCGTTCCCGGGAATATCGGAGTGCGGGTGGTGGACTGTGCGGCCCTCGACGGACTGGGAGAGTCCACGCAGCAGCTGCTGGACGCCCGGGGCTGTCCCATCGACGACCAGGTGAGTGGATCATAGATATATATATGTACATATCTGGTGGATCGGTCATTTGCGTAACAGGTGCCGGCGGCACGACATTCTACGCTGAACCGTTAGAGCGGAGAAGAGAGTAGGAGAAGAAACCGAACCTAGACGCGATGAGACAAACGGAAAGTCATTAATTAATCTCGATGTCGATGCTGTGGGGCGATCTGCGATTGATCGCATTTAACTTTCATTTTTATAGACGACATCTAGAGGGTATCAGGGGGTATGTGAGAGGTGTAAACATAGGTTAGACCCTCAAGAAGGTACTTACCTACCTATTCTTGAAAAATTATTATTTTAGGGTGAATACTTTTAAAGAAATTCATTCTTAAATTCTATTAAGTTTTCACAAAAGTCAAAGGCAAATTCTTTTTAAAACTAAGAAAAGTCTAAAAATAATTTAAGACGTCAAAAAAGAATTCTTAGTTCAGAATTCCAAGTACATAAGCTCCAAAAGCATACTTCACTTTAAAAACTTAGTTGAATGTCATTTCTGTCACTCCAAGTCAACATAACTTGCAACTTTTTATGTGATTCGTTTTAGAAATC